TTGTAATTTATATTCATCTCAACTATAATCTATTAAGACGGAAAGCATAATATGACTTTTAAACTTTTCCCATATGATGTACCTAAGAGATACTTCTCACCTCAGAGGAGAGAAGCTTAGCAAGTAGGGCGAGAAAGCTATAACGAATATAAACTTTAAATAACTAAGGGACTTTGACTACCTGTAAGAGTAGCTGGTGTAGCCACGTATAAATAGAGGCATACAGATATGTAAATATTTTTCTTAACCCTTCGCTAGCCTTAATGTTGTCGGTTGGCTTCGTCGCGCCGACTGTTTTTTTTTTTTTTTTGTTTTTGTCTTGGCTACGCTTTGTTGCCTCTTTCTCCGGGTGTGCCGAAGAGAGGAGAGAAGAGCTGAGGAGATTTCGCTATCAAATTACTTAAATACCCAGCTCAATACCCGTTTGTCCACTGGCTTGCCTCTTATCGACTGACTCTTATAGTTGCTGCCGGTTCTAGGGTTGAGTTCTACTTTGCTGGCTGCTTTTTACTTTTTTGTTTTTGTTTTTGGGCTCAGACATTTGGCTCTGTTGCGAGGCGACTCAATAACCAGTTGCTGCACAGCCGTTGTAGAACATGTTTGCCGCGGCACCCAAACCCAAACATAAGGTACAACAAAATGCAGTTCATTTCAGTTTGCCAAAGTGTGTGAAAAATGAAAGAATAAAAAATGTGTCGATGAATTTGCCACATATCAAAAATTGAGCTCAATTAAATTGTGCTTGAAGTTAATTACTGCGTATAACCTTGGCTATCTTATCTGGCCACAGTTGTCCACAATGACACTGCTAAAAATGTTATTTGGGTTTATTTTTGGCAATAGTAAATTTAAATTTTGTTTTCGCATTTGTGTTGTGGGCTTTTGTGTTTTGATTGAGATTCGAAATTGATATTGTATATTGATATATATATTGAGGAATATTTCCATTCTGTTGCTGATTTAAATTTGATATGACGTCGAGTGTCTTGAAATGAATTGCGTTCAATAATTCTTTCTATCCTACAGTTAGCATCTTTCGATTAGTTTTTGTGTACTGAAAACATTGAGATGCCTTGATTAGATACAACCAATGAGTGCTAATACCCCGCAAAGATTAACAAATTAAAATGTTATATTGGTTAACCAGCAACTGAAAGTGCAACCATAAAATACACTTTGCTTCATTGGAAACACATGCTGATGATTTATTGACCCCCTTTGATTAAGTCACAGTCGCATTGGAACAACTTTTCAAAGTGTCAGCAGAAAAGCCGGAAAAACTCGGTTGCTCTATGCTAAATATTACATGAACATAAATTGTTGTTGTCTTCACTTCTGGCCCTGACGTCACCATTTGCAGTAACGATCTCGAATTAAACAGCGGAAAAGAAAAACAATGCACGCCATTATTTTTTTGCAGCAATGAACAAATTTAACAATGTTAAACTTTCCAAAACCATCACGGCCTTTAAATGCCCTGGAAATGCATATATTTAATATGCTAATAGTATAACCTGGCCTAAGGTTAATTACTTGGCTAATAAGTGACGAAAAATCCCCTTTTTATTTAGAAGTTTCAACTTCATCTTTGATCTCTGTTTAGTTTGTTCTACACTCAAAGCTCTGCTGATCAAATATAGTTTCTTAGAATTCTCAACGATTCAACTGGAAAAAATAAATGAATGTAAAAATGAGAAACTTGGCTTAAAATAATATAATAATTAAAATATGTATTATGTATATATTTTGAATTATTATTTTCAATAACTAACAAAAATACACAAGTTAAACCTGAAAAAATATATTTCAAGATTATTTTCAATATTTGTCAACCAATTTCGAATGTTGATCAATGACAGTCTGTTCATTTTAGTATACCCAATGTTGGCCATTGTTTGATTAGAGGATATTAAACTACTCAAAGCGCCAGCAAGCAATTTTCTTGATTAATTTTGTGTGTCTGTTTTTGTTGTGTACTATTATTTCTCTAAGCCATTCAACTCGAAATCAGCTCAAAACAAACTCAAACTCCGACTCGACTGTGCCGCTCTCGCAACAAAGCACAAAAAATATAAATAAAAAAAAAAAACAAAAACAAAATAATAATAATTTGTTCGAGTTTTTGTGTTAATTGAGAGACGGCAACGATGCCGATGCCCGACGACAACGACCATAAAAAGGCCCGAACCAACAGTTGGCTGTTGAACGCGTTACGATATAGTCGAACACCGAGCGGTGAATTGTAAAATATTGAGAAGAGCTTAAATACGATACGATACGATATTATACGATTAAATGTAACACGTGTTGCTGTGGCGTATACTTAATATTTTGTGAAACCCCTTTTAATGATTAAATGAAAATGTGTGAACTAATCGTCAATCATACGCTCAATCGTGAGGTAAATCATATGAATGCACCACATGTGAGATTCATTATAAACATTTGACAATTTTATAGTGTATTTGTGTGTGTGTGTGTGTGTGTAAACATACTAACTGAGTCTGAGTGAGTGCGTCATTTCGGCTGCAATGCAAACAGAACAGAAACTGGTTGGTTGCCAGATTGGAGATCTCAGGCAACACTCACTCAGTCTGTCATTGACATTTGCCTTCTATCCATCCGGTGAAAGCAACAACAACACTCATGCAACAACAACAACAACAGTCATATTTACACATATAAAAAATAAATAAAAAAAGCAACAAAAAACAATATGTGGCTATATATAGTATTTGTATTATTTGCAAGTTATATTTCACATTACTTGTCACGCTTCAATTCGATGCTTTTGTTGCCATTTGATCTGTTCTGCTGATTGCCTGCCCTGCCTGCCACGGAGTTTAATTATATCTGCTTGACAGATATAATACTGACAGAATTAATGAGTTTTGTATTCCAATTTTGTGGCCCATTTTGGCACTTCAATTGCCACAATTTACATGGACACAAATTGGGTGATACTAAAAAGACTTCAAATTCAAATTCCCCAAGTTATAAATGTATGAATGTTTAACTCAGCGACTAAGACTCATATCTCTATGCTAGACATGATTTATGTATATGCAAAGTAAATCAAAAATAAACTAAAAGTTCTCTGAAAAATATACCATTTCGCAATTTAAAGAAATTTAAGTCTGTTTGGAAAATTCCAAGTCTGTTGCGGAAGCTAGATTCCGCACTATTGCAAAATAAAATGATATTCATTAATTTGCACGTTGCTAAATAAAAAATATACCCCACTTTAATGCTTACAAACAGACAGTAAAAAATGCATATACGAGAAATTCCTGTTTTCCCAAAGAGATATCGCATCTAAGACTTGGATGTGTCATTTTGAAATTTGACTAAAAACAAATTGTCCAAAAATTGTTAAACCTGAACATTTCAATTTGAGCAATTAGCATGTTTAGTTTAGTCCGCTGTTGTTCAGTGAATCATGGATTATATTTTGCCAGAGTGTTTTATTTGTTGTTATTGTTATTGTCAACACTCTGCAGAGATTTCATCATTATGGGCGAGGTCGTTGCCAGAACTAAAACCAGTCAATTGCATAAATTTATGCAATTCATGCATAATAATCACAGTACTTACTGCATACAACATACGCAGACTCCACACAAAGAGTCCAAAGTGCCACATTAAAGTCAAGGTGCACTCGACTCGAAGTCTTAAGTCCTAATGAGTACTCGACAACCTCCAGCACATATTTGAGTTTCACTTGACTTAATCGATTATTAATTTATCGATTCTCTTTGCTATCGAAGTGTCTCGAGAGACAGACAGACAGACAGACAGAGAGATAGACGCACAAAGTTGCTAATGGTTCAAGCACGTTCACAATTTGATTACTTGAGTTGAGTTCATGGAAATCGTCTGAGTGGGTTGTGAAACGGCGATGTCTTGAAGACGACGTGCTTTGAAGTTCGTAGACGAAGCTTCGAGTCTAATTTTAGTGAGAAAAACCGGTATATTTAACACCTAAACTATTTTGCTATTTACACAATACTTATTATAAAGGGTTTTTTTCTTCTTTTTTTTTTGGGGGGTTCGTCTTTGACTGATAATGATAGGTTTTCAGTGTTTTCTGCTGCTTATCACGCAAATGTTTCAATTGGCGCTCAATAACAATACGATAATAATAATTATTGTGACGACATCCAGCCACTTAGCATCAATTCTCGTATTCCCAATTGACGTCACAATCACCCATCTTTTTTCCCACAAGAACAACTGATTGTCACTGCAAGTTAGGAAACTCCTCCCTCTCATCAATTAGTCAGCGTCGTTCCCATTTACTTTCACATCTTGTGCTGAACTTTTGCTATCTATATAGGAGTGCTCAGATCGTTTTGGATGATTGGTTGACTGCCCGCGGCACTACAGGCACAGATGGCTTCGTTGATAAGTTGCTTATTTTTGTGTTGGTTTTTTTGTATTGGTTTTTTGTTGTTGTTGCTTTGACCAACAGCAAAGTTTCATTAACTTCGGATTGTCAGTTGTTTTTTGCGCAGTTCGCATTCAAGTCGTCAGTCTTATTGGTTGTGTTTCGATTTTGCTCCACAAAATGGGTTTTCGCTATGCGGTAAATAAAAGTGCAACTTTTTTGCTGCCCATGTCATAAATGAATAGAAATATATTACTTAAAAAAAATATATGTTTTTGTTTTCAAGTTCTCAAAATCGACCAACTAATTTATGTATGAAATATGGAATTTATGTATTTTATACATTCATTATTTCTATGATTTTGTGGCATTTAAAAAAAAAACACATTTCTCGAATACATTTTTTTTTGCGCATCAGTTTATCCTTAACTGATTTTCTAATTGTTTTTTGCGTCATTTATGACATGTGCACAATTATTATAATAAAAAATCAGTTTAAAATCGAGCGCTTAAATAACAAACAAAAAATTGCCTAAACCGGTTTAGCGCAAATAAATGAAATTAATGAGACATTTGTATGCTCTGTGGAAAGTGACAATTTATAAAGCATTCACTGAAAATGTTCTCCAAAAGAATGGAAAATCCAAAAACGTAGCCAGCTTCGTAAATTGTCAGCAGACATTTTCCCATCAGATTCGTTTTGTGTAGCATTTCAGTTTTATAGTTAGCTCCAAAGAGCACACTTCTCGAACAAGTTTAATTTTCACTCGAATATTTTTGAGAAATTTTTTGTGTGTCAAAAAAAAAAATAAAAATCAAATAAACTAACAGAACGAATTGTATCCAAATTCAACGTATTTGCAAACAAGTACAGAAAATTTTATACAATATACATATAAATTCAACGCTAGAATAGAAGAATAGGCAATGAGCTCCTCGAAGAGATTCGCATTTAGCCAATTGGCGCTCCAGAGTGGCAAATCAATGGGCACTTTCTGCCACCATCCTCCTGGAGGAGGAGCCATCAGTGCGGCACAGCACAGCATATCCAAGGAGCGACAAATGAGTCGGCTGAGCAAAGTGATTGGGCTGAAGAAGACGCTGGTCAATCAGATGCAAGGCATGATGCAAACGATGCGATCATCACCCGTCAAACTCAAATCCAGCACATATCGCATCTATGGGCCGACCCGACGACTCTGCTCCTCGATGAGCAGTCTGCCGAGCAGCCGTGGCTCTGCACGCAATTTCAGCAGCAGCAGCAGTTGCAGGCAACAGGCACAACTGACCTCGAGTGCCGAGCAGCGATATCATCATTTCGGGGATCTCTTTGAGCGTCGCAATGGAGACTTGGCACGCGACATTAGTCGCTCCATACAGGACGATCTCATGGTGATCGATTTGAATACGAAGCGTTTGATTAGCTGCGCCAACACCAAAATACCAACTGACAAATATGATGACTATGACAACAGGCAGCATCATCATCATCATCACAATCATCATCAGCATTCGAATCCGCGTCAGCGTCATGGCAGTCTGCCAAGCGTCACAGAGTGGAACGAGACGCGTATGCCAAAAGCGATGGATGCCATGGATACGATATCGAAGCAAATGAAACCGTTGCGTCGCAAGTTGACCAACATACGCCTGAAGGATAACGCCATATTGCCAAATGCTGGCCAACAGTTTGCCCAACCCAATCAGCAGAGCCGCAAGCTGCAGATGCAGTTGGGTGAGCTCTATGCAAATTCGATCAGGCAACGCAATCACAAAACAATCTCGAAAAATCTCAAATCAAACACTGCAATCAAACAACAAATCACAAATCACGCTGAACGTGAGTTGGACATGGCAACAGCAACAGCAGCAGCAGCTTCTGGCACCGGTCAGAGATCTGGCAAGAGCAGTCGGATGGACGAGGTGCATTATCAGAGCAAAAAATCGGCCAATTTGATGAGCGCCTCACAGCGTGTGATAAACAAGCAATTTGAGGGCTATCGTGAGGCCAACAAATCGAAGCTGATTGTCCAGGCGGTCAGTCCGACTCCGTTGAGCAAGGCCATCCAGCCACCGCCGACGACGCGGACACGGCTCATCACAATGGGACAAACCGTGCCCAAAGCTAAAGAGTTGTCCAAGTCGACGGAGCACGTCAAGAAGGAGAATAACTGGTACAAATCGAAGGCACACAACAATGTGCTGGAGATGGCCAAATCAGTGGAGATAACCAAAAAACTAGAGAAATCCAGGCAAGCGGCAAGCCTAAGCACATTTAGTCGTCGCAACTTTGAGCAAAAGCGTGGCAGAAGCGAACAGAAGGAAGAGCAATCCTCACAACAACTCCCAATTCAAATGGGCGAAATGCGCGAATTGGCCAAACCCGAGGAGAAACGAGACAATTCCAACGCAGAGCTCAAGATGCCGTCCCAATATACCAAAGAATCGGCGGTGCAGCAACTGGGAAATGTGGCCGAGAAGCGGCCAATTCACATCTATTCAAAGCAACGAATGTTTTAAAACAGAGAGAGAGAAAGAGACAAGTGCGTGTCAAAGGTCAACTGAGGGGGGCCAATGGCCAAAACTGTGTGTGTTCCCCTCCAACAACGCCTTCGTCTTCGGCTTCGTTTAGGTCGCAAATTTTGTTTAGCTAACCAAAATTCAGTGCAATTCCATTTACCAAACCTAAATTTGATCTCAGTAAATGTACCAAATATATATGTAACTATTATATTATTATTATTATTATTATTATTATTATTATTATTGGAATATCTGACCCCTTCTGAGCCTACAGCTGCTCCATCAATTACAACTCCTGCAACCCCTCCTGGGTTGAGGACTTCCATGTCTTTGGAGCTCATAAAATACATCCCAAGGATGCTGCATCTTTTCCTCAGCAGAATCAGATTTGTGATACATTTGCATTGGAATCGTGTCAAAGTTGTCAGCATTGTTTGCCAGTTATCATTCACTTGCCGAACTTTGTTTTAGTTTAATTGTTATCAACTGTTCAACTTCACCGTTTGCCAAGTGCATTGTAAAATATACATTTAACATATATTCTTATATATATATTTTTTGTACATTTTAGTTTTGTTTTCAAGTACGTTTGCAACTTATTGAAACACTTTGAAACACCACAAAACACAAACTCAAAACGTGCATTTTAATTTGTAGTTTTGAACCAAATCGCATACGAGACAAGCTCACAAAAACACCCGAATACAGAAAATACCAACAGACTACTACTAATATATAATATATATATACATATATATATATATATATATATATAACTATGAATATACCCAGCCACAATCCACATTATAAAAAAGATGTATTTATAAAAATAATAATAATCCAAACTATCCAACCACTGATGAGCCACTGATAATAAATAATTTCTTAGTTAGTTACTGCACCAGAATTATTGAAGTTTTGCTACACCCTATCCAAACCAAAAAAAATAAATAAAATAAAGTACTCTTTTTTCAAATAATTATTTCAATAATCAGTGCACAGTTTCAATTTTCACTTTTCATAATGTTGAGAACAATAGAATTGCAAAACTGAAACTGTTCGCACACATTTTGGATATGAATTATAATTTTGAATTATGTATTTGTTTATGTTCTTGAATGTGATAACACTTCAACAAAATGTGCTAATCTCAATCACAATTGGATCGTTCTTCAGGTGCTGTCTATGAGCGCAGATGAATATCGCAAGGTCAACTATGCAACTGGTTCCTTTGACCTGGACTTTCCCATACCAGATCTTAATGGCAAAACAGAGATACTCACAGAAGAGCATCGGTAAGCTGACGTTCACTTAATTAATACTTCATTTCTAATTACCAAATTATTGTTATTTTTTAGTGAAAAGCTGTGCGCTCATTTGCCGGCTCGTGCCGAGGGCTATTCCTGGTCTCTAATCTTCAGCACATCGCAACATGGTTTCGCCCTCAACTCCCTCTATCGCAAGATGGCGCGATTGGAGAGTCCAGTTTTAATTGTCATTGAGGATACGGAGCACAATGTGAGTTAAATGATTTTAAAATATTCAAAATACGGTTCTGGCAAGTTTTCAAAAAACAGCACTTGAAATCCATTACATTTGTTAAACTTATTGATTAAAAAAGAATTGAAAATTAGAATTAATTTTGTTTCTAACTAAACAAAAAAATAATTTAACTTATATATTTATATAAATATTTATTATAAGTTCAATAATTAATCGACGATTTTGCAGTGCTTTTTGTTTAGAAGATATTCCGACTAGAGAATAATATTAAATAAAAATTTAATAATTTCAATTCAATTTGATTTTTTTTAGGTATTTGGTGCTTTGACCTCTTGTGCGCTGCATGTGTCGGATCATTTTTATGGCACCGGCGAATCCCTGCTCTACAAGTTTAATCCCAGCTTCAAAGTATTCCATTGGACTGGTGAGAATATGTACTTCATAAAGGGCAACATGGAGAGCCTCTCAATTGGCGCTGGCGAGTGAGTATACTTCAACTGCAACTTCAATTTAAAATCATCACCAACTAAATAGATAGAATTATTAACAAACCTATTTTGCATTTTCTTTCTATGATTTTTAGCGGTCGCTTTGGCCTGTGGCTGGACGGTGATTTAAATCAGGGACGATCGCAGAATTGCAGCACATATGGCAATGAGCCGTTGGCGCAACAAGAAGACTTTGTTATCAAAACACTCGAATGCTGGGCATTTGTTTAAGTGAATTTGTGTTGAGAACGCAATCTAGATGAAGAGTGAAGCCTACCTATTTAATTAATTGATAATATATAAAAATATATGTATGTGTACTAAAAACAAACAACAACAAAAAAAAAATAATAAGAATAATAACTAAAACAACCTGAGAATGATATCAAAAAAGCTAACGCGTGTCTAAAAATAATAATAATTAATTAAAAACCAACTATCATAACAATGTAATCACACAGGAAAATAATAGAAGAAGAAAACCTAAACTTAACTTCAAATGCAATTGTGTAAAACAAAATGCCTGTGAGCTAGTTGAGAATTGCTATAGATGCGTTGAAACTTATTAATTATTTAGTTTTTATATTATATATTATTATTAAACAAAAGGCAACTAAATTATGTACTAGATGTTAAACAGTGAGAAAACTACAAACAAAACAAAACAAAACAACACGACAACAAAAACAACAAAAGCAAGAAAACAATTGAAAAGAACATTTAAAGCACACGCCTCTCACAAAAACAACAAAAAAACAAAAGAAAAGAAACGATTTGGACATAAGCATCATGAAAACACATCCATACACACACACACACACACCCACACACACCAACACATACACACTCACGCATTTAAGTTTAAGTTATACTATCAAAGAGAAAAATATTAAATGTTTATTAACCAAAATACAACACGAAAACAAGTTTTAACTTAAATTCAATTGATTTGATTGTTTTGTATTTTGTTTTTGTTTTTCGTCTAGAATTTAATTTACTACGCATATTATATATATATATATATATTTTGATTCGTGCCTTTGATTTTCTCGAGAAACATGAAATGAAAAGAATGTCGATATAATTTTAGTGCAATTTTAGGCGCTGAGACGCCTCCAATCCCTCCCCCATATCCCCCATATACCCATTTTGCAAGCGAAACGGAAAATATCTTTTAATGATTTTAATTTTGTGCGAGATGACAGCGAGAGAGATGAGGAGAGAAAAGTACATGAATGGAAGGCGTTTAATTTCTTTAGTTTTACATCAAATATATATTTAATTATGCTAATCATGTTGATTTTAATGCAATTATACTAAAAAGGAAACAACACAAGATTGAGAAATACACAATATATACTATATTACCAACAATTTCAAACGCAGACGCTTTTTTACTTTGCTAACTGAGTGAAAGGTACACTGAAACACAAGAGGCTGCAGAAACTGATAAATCTTGTATAAAATACTATATTTATACGATCTCAAAAGATCTGTCAGGCTGCTCAGGCTCAACAAGTTGAACAATTCTTTATGTATATCCGACACCTTTTTTTGGGAAAAGGCATCGCCTACGAAAAGGGTGCTTCCAGAAGATACATATTCATTTGATATTGGGTATATATATATATATATATACAAATATGTGTTTGTTGAACGTGTCGGAGATGTTTATGCTGCGTTACAAACACACCCACACATATACACACACACACACACACCAAATTTCTACACATCTGCAGCACCTGAAACATTTTTGGTGGCTGCTGCGGATGCAATGGTTTTGAAAACTTAAATGGCTTTATATCCCTTTTGAGATACAATTGAGTATAACTACAAATATAAAATTATATATATATATATATATTAATATATAATTATACGGTATATGAGTGTAAGTTGCAATTGAGTGTGTCATTTTTTGTAGTGTATTGGTGCAGCCCTCGCCGAACCTATTGATGTGTATAATACCTAATTGTTGTAATGTCTCCCTCCTTAGAAGCGTGCAACATTATAGCAAAATAAAAACAAATTCTAAATATTTGAGCTACACACATACACACACACACACACACGCACAGCGTTGCGGGTTTGTTGCAATAAAAACTAGTTTGAAAGAGCAAATGAAACGAAATTGCTGATTTTTTACACGGAACACAGTTCGCAAAACAAAAACAAAAAAACACAAGAAACAAACAAAATTGGATATATTTTGTTTTACTTTGACGATTTGGAAAATTGTTAATAGGAACTAGCAGCAACGCACACGCAAAAAAATAAAAAAATAACTACAAATTAAACAAAGTCCCTAATAAACAATTTAGCATGCAACAATTTAGAAAAACTTAGCTGAAACTTTTTTGCACCCCACAAAGCCCAAAAAGATAACCAAAACTAAAACACTCAAGGTACATAGATCTAAACGATACTTATACATATGGAACACTTATATATGAAATATATATATGGTATATATACATATATATGTATATATATATATATACATACATATATATATATTCAACAAATTATGAACACTCACGCCAAAGTGTTGGTTTTTTATAGATGTTATTTAAAATCGTTGACAAAACAATTTTTGTGTAGCTGTGTATAAGATATATGCATACCTATCCCTATCTGATATTATGTACTATACAAATAATATCAAAACATAATCCCTAAAAAAAACAATACAAAACAAACGCATGAGTTTTGTGAGCTTTAAACACACAAACCAAATCAATGAATATTGAATTAATCAAAAATTGAAATTAGATTTGTATTTGTGAAATCGGAAGACTCTTTTTAAGATACCCACACACACACACCCGCCCGCCCCCTCGCTCCCCTTTCAGGATGTTGGCTTGACTACAGAGCATCAAGTAAGCAAACATTTCAGTCAAACAAAAAACTTTAGCTTCAACTCCAAACAATGCGCTATAATTCATGCATAAAATCTTGAGACCAAAATGCGTTTACTACAAATATGAATAAAAAAATAAATAAATCCTACAACTAAATAAACTATATAAAAACTTGATCATTCAAAAATACATACATTTGGAGACCTAGAAAACAAGCATTCAATTTCGAAAGAGAGCCTCGCAGATTTTTTCAACTGATTTGGGCGTCAATTATGTCTTCACACACACACGCACACACACCCACATACACTGACACACTACACACATATAAAATACAAGTGAAAATTGATAAATTGTAATATGATTAATATGTAATTTGGTAGTCCTACTTGTTGTTGAATTCGTAGCCCTTTTGTTGTGCGATCAAACAATGCAAAAAAGAAAGCAAAAAACAAAAACAAAAAGAAAAGAAAACAAAGAAAATATTTTTGAATTGTAACTTCTGTCAATTAACTTGTAGACTGTAGATTGCATATACCAAGTGAAAACTGATCAGCAAACAAACGCACATTTTATTGTTGCAATTAAAGGTATATATATATGTATATGTATTTATATCCATTAGGTTTTGTTTTGCTTAAGAGAAAACACGACAAGCTAAAGCATGTATATACATATATATTATATATCAAGTATAAACAAAAAGGCCAGTTAAATAGTATGCAATTCATGTGGCTTTATCTTAACGGGTTTTTTTCTAGCTACCTGTCGGTGTCTGCATTTCAGTAGTAGTTGTGAAAATAACACACACAGAAAACCAGTGTTGCGTAGTTGCGTATAATTGTAGATGTGCACGGAAAAATCAAAAATCCAAACCAAAACCAACTGCACAAAAGTTAAGCCGTTAAATATATATATACATATATGAGAAGTGAAATTATTAAAAATTATATTAATACATTAAACGTATTTCTATTTTGTTGAGAGAGAGAGAGGGAGAGAGAGAGAGAGAGATAAAGAGCTAGAGAGAAGCAGAAATAACATTGGCAGCTGTAAATGTGTCGCATTTCCCGGCTTAATTCTCCAGCTTGCAATATGACCTAACCTCAAATTCAAATAAAATAATTGTGCATATAAATAAGCCAAAACCAAAAACCAAGCAACATAAATAGCTCAAACTTCTACTTTTAATGTACAACTAAAAATTCAGAACTTTTCCAGAGAATAGAATTTGCCAAGATATGAAAACTTTTCAAGAAACAACTTTCTACCCTCCAAAAAAAATGTATAGAAAAGGCTATAATAACAGTATAATATAAGCAGAAATATCTCAGATATCTACTTGCAACTTAACGATAGAATAGAAATGGCAAAGGTATGAAAACTTTTGAAGAAACAACTTTCCACCCTCCAAACAAAATGTAAAAAATTTCCAAAACTAAAACAGTGTAAGTGAAAAGTAAACTAACAGTATATAGAACAGGTGATACTAGAAGAGAGCGTTCCATTAACACATAGATACACACACACACACGCATATATATATATATATATATATATAAATTGGCATATGCATATGTAGTATCTAAAGTTTGAGCGACAAAGTTTTATTTTTCCACCGACAAATCGCAGGAAATGGGAATAAATAGAGAAAACAACTTGTTAATAGATATAGTGAAGAGTACATTCATGCTTATATGTAGGTATGGCAATTAGATCGGTCGTGTACATACTATATACGAGTATATGAGATATATACAATATATGCACACACACACACACACACATACCCAAACATACATGCAAATATTTTTGGAAAAAAATCGATGATATGTACATACAAAAAAAGCTGCAAGAAATGCAATAAAAAATAAAATAAAAAAACAAAAGAAATGTTTAATGTAAATGTTAAAATGAACTAATTAATTGAAATTGAGTGGATTGCTCGTTTGCTTGTTTGTTCGTTTGTTTAAAATGCATAAATACTTCAGTTGAACATCCAAATGAATAGATGATAATACATATAGTTAAAGCGAATATAAAAGTCATGTGCGATGAAAAACAAAAACCGAATCACAAACACACAAGAACGAATATGTACTTATACATATATAAATATATGCATAATATATATATATATATATATATATATATATATATATATATACATATATATTATGGTATATATACCATACTATACCACATATATACTGTATGTAAATGTAAAGTCATTACAAAGATGAGCAACTTTTCTGAAAAATAAAGTGTATATTCAAATATCAAATGACGTTGTTTTACTTGAATCAATCAAATCAATCAATCAACATTCCTAAAATATGAATTATTAAGATGTTAAATAGTCACGAAACTATGAAAAGTTACACAAAGGACACATCGAAAGGTCAAGAAATGCAAAAAATATAATTGGAAAAGCAACACACATGATTAAGTACATGGCTGGTTGGTCATAATAAGTTGTAATGACACCAGTACCTTGGCGAAGAGCAAATCCAGACGATTTTAAGACTTCATAAGAGGAACAAAAGCCGCACTTCGCCGGGTTTTTCACTATAATTTTAGGAATATGACAAGACTACGAATAATTTAAAAATGATCATTTTTACTATATTCAATATTTGTACTTGTTTCAAAGTGTAATTGATAATTATAGAAACAAATTGTTTGCAAGCAAGGCAAAAAGACAGTTTTTAGTCGATTTGACGTCTTTTAAGAATCATACTTACTGTGTTACGCTGAAATCACATTCAAAACTTCAATTTTGGGAATTTTTTTGGTCATTTGCTGAGTTTTTCATTTAATTAAAAAAATAGATACATATATGCATTCAAACACATAATTGATATAATTGTTTGTTTGTTTGTTGGTGTGCTTTACATTACTTCGCTTATACGCCATCATTTTAGATAATTACGAAAATATTGCAAATAATTGAAGTGTATAATTGATTGCCTAATTCACAATTGACTAAAAAAAATATTTATTAATGATTTGTTGTATTTATTCTAATTAACATTTTATTTGATGCATTTTTGTGATTAGTTTATTCGATATTATGTGCAATTGGCTGGCGTACAAACACAGCATATATGTTGCCTATAAACAAGAGATTTTTGATAATATGTTTATTTATTTCTTCAGATATCGTATTTTTGTTGTTTGCGCTAAAATCTCTAACTATGTGAGAGTTGAACAAGTTTTGTGGACAAATGCAAAACAACCAAATAAACAGTTTTCGTAGTGGTTTTTACAAAATTTTTGAGATAGCAAATAAATGTTTGATATTTTGGCTTCGATGGAAGCTGCGCTTTAGCTATAATACTTTGGCAAACCTACGCAAGTTAAAACAGTTTTTGCAGAAGAAATCGTAGAAGAAAAGAAACAATCTACATGACGCTGATAAGGCCGTTAGCTACGTGGGTCAGATTAATGCAAAAATAACTAAAAATACGATTTACGGGCTAACAACTAGATTAGGTATTAAATGACTAAAGGAGCTTTGATTCACATGTTTGTAAAATAGTTTAGACTCGTGCAGCAAAATCATCACGCTGAGACTATACTACACATACAGTTTTTTCATTTTCATAACTTAAGAATTAGATATAAATAGTACTTGTTATGTTTAACTAGCTTTTTACAATGTGTGTGTGTTTGGATAAGATATATATATATAGATAGACGGTATATATACATGGTTTTGTAGCCAGATCGGGCTACGTGCAAATCTCATTGCTGGCGGCACAGGAACAGCTTGCCACATTCGCATTGAGTGCCGCTGCTGCTGTGCCCGTTGTCATGCTGGCGGGCGTAAACGCTGAGGATGAGGATGAGGAGCTGGATGTTGCTGCTGATGAAGATGATGCTGCTGCTCCTGTTGTTGTTGTTGTTGTTGGTGAGGCGGGTGTGCTAGTTGTGGTAGAGTCGGGTTCGGCGAGCTGCGCCAAAGCATTCGCATTGCTATTTTCCAGTTTGGCCCGAATGAGCGCCTCCTCGCGCTCCTTGGCATCGAAATACCAAACGGTAATCGCGTAGCGTGTCCGATGCGCCGGCTGCACCTCGTGAGGATTTCGTATGTCCGACCAGAAGAATATCAGGCGATCAAACTTCGGCTCAATATCCGCAACAGTTGTGCCAGGCGTGGGTCGAATTCTATATATATTGAAAGACGACAGATTGATTAATTTACTCCAAACATGAATAAAACATTTGAATGAAATCTGATTTGAATTTTTCGCTTTTAGCTGCTCACTTTAAAAATTTTCAATCATCAAAGCTTTATAAACACTCCCAACAGACACAAATTTCAAAAACAAATTAGAAATCTGGAAATGAACCCAATTCGAAGACGATGGCTTCTATGCGCTACATTGTATATACATAGGAATATGTATATTAATGTACTCTTTTGACACGCTTTTGAATCATTTATATATATGTTTTAGTCATTTTTTTTAAAAGTATTTTCGTTTGAAAAAACACTATCCTCGACCCCAAAATCATTCTCAAGATATGCTTCAAAATAGCAACTACTATAAACAATAATTCATATTCCCTTTTAGTGGACTGATTCCGGAAGCTTCCCAAACTTATATCAAGAATAATTGTGGATGTGGTTAGAGTCGGGGTATCTCGTTTTATATGCGACAAATTTCACAAAGGAAAACTTACCTCAATATGCCGCCGCTTTCCCTGGCATCCCAATTAAGGTTCAGGTAGTATATGGCTGTAATAACGCGTCCATCCTTGTTGGGATTGTCCACGTGCATGACGTAGTGTGTGCCAGACCCCGGATAACAAGCAACCATTGCCTATAGACAAAATAATTCAATTAATTTAAATCTCGCAAATATTAACAATGAAGTTTTGAATAATTTCTTTCAAAGATTGGCCATCAATACAGTTATTTGAAAAATATAGAAACTTAGAAACTCCAAAAATATTACTAATAATATTTAACAAATTTCTTCGATTTTTACAATGGCTTGATTACAATAATGATTCCAGCTTTATAGAGGAATCATTTATTCTATTTTCAAATGGATGAAAAGTAAAAGAAAATTAGATTACTGAACCGCGACTTTTGCTACATAAAAGCGACTACTATTATTTTGTTCAATATGAAACTAGGTTTTGTTTAACAAAATCTGTTTCTTATAAGAACTTGTCTTCATATACATGAACAGACGAGCATGGCTAAGCCAACTACATTTTTGATGATGTTCAAGAATATATATACACTTTCTGCTTTCTTCTATCTGTTTTGTCTGCGGCACAGCCTCATTTTAAATTTTTTCCTAATTTTATGGATCGATGTAAGAAATGTTCTTATATCCAAGAGTCTAGCCTAGACATATTCTTGTTTGTGTTCGCTCAAATGAAAGAAGAGCGGATATTGTGGGTGCTTACTCTCGTTCGCTCTCTGATGTGGTAGTTGCCCAGAATGCCATTATCCTTCATGGTGTTCACACGATAAACCACAGAATCAATCTAAAAGTAGGTTTATGAGTTGGTTGATTGGAATTGTGGTGCTTGATGATAAGTGGCTCACCTGATTGGTCAGATACCAGACATTGGCGCAGCCGGGCTCATTACCGCCAACCCATTTGATTTTATCGCCACGAATGTTGTTATCGCCGCGCACCGCCGACGGTTGGGTATCGGTGGTGGTTCGCATATTGTGCACCAGCTGGCCATCATGAAATGCGCCCGCATTGTACATGCTACGCACCTCGTTCAGGATCTTCAGGCCCTTGTCCAGGCCGAGGAAATCGTCGACCACAGAGAGTCCATATTGATTCATGTCGCTGATGATATTGCGACACAGATCCTCATAGCGTATTTCACTGTGAGGGGAATGAGAAAAGAAATCAAGTTTAGTTGAATTTTACATATTGTCTTGCTCCCTCATAGGTCACCCTGCCTTAGGGCGGGATTTGCACTCAATTGCTAATCTATTTATTTATATCGCAAACAAATCAAAATGCAAATATTTTACTGCTCACAGTTTGTTATTTATTATGAATTTCAAAAATTTTACGACTTTTTTATGAGTTGCACAAGACTATAAAATTATTCCCAGTACGAGGCGACATGTTTCAGTCACGTAGTCCAAAAACCACACAAAACAAAGACACACACTCTCTCTCTCTCTCTTTCTCTCTTACACACACACACATACCCCAGCTGTATGAAGAGAATGAGTTGAAAAGAGAAGAGCTGTTTAAAATTCGCTAATTCTGGATAAATAGGAAGAAGCCGAAAAATGTGCAAATATTTTTATTCATCAGAATTTTCATGCTAATTATCATCTTTTACGCTTTCGCAAAAACTTGATTTGCTAATCTCTTCATAGTTTTAAATTCATAGAAATCGAACATGGCTTTAAGGTTTTCAAAAATTTTTGTTGCAAATGTCGCATATTATAATTACAAACTGGTTTCGTTTTTTTTCGCTAAAAAAAAGATTAAATTTTTTTTTTGTTAAAGCGCAATTAAATTACCGTTTATCCAAAATTTCGCGAAAATATTGTTCAGCATTGGCAGGATGCGCAGAGTGTTTAAAGAAATTAGGATAATCCGTTGTTGTTGAGGTAATCATTTTGCGTTGTTTCAGTTAAACTTTTTTTAATATAAATAATTGTTTGTTATTGTTCTATGCAGTTATTTGGTTTGTAAGAGAAAATACTTTTGTTTTTTCAGTTTGCAAATTAGAACCGACTCCATAAACAATTCACGCACAACTGATGAAAGTTATTAAATGCCTGCCAGCTTTTATGCTGTTTTCCCGTTTGAAAGAGAATTAGAGAGAAGCAGACAACTAGCACATAACCGGCTATTATATAGTATTATAGCGGTATGACGGCGAAACAGTGTTGGAAAACGAATACAACAGCAGCTGTTTGTTTTCCTTTTATTGCACTTGTAATTGCCAGCTGTTTGTTTTGGTATTGTTATTCACATTCGTGTCTTGTCGCACGAAACAAACAAATAATTGTTGAAGAGCGCAAACCGTTCGCGTTGAATGCGCGTTCACGAATGCGGTGACGGCAGCACAACAAGCACCAGCGACAACGTACTCGATCGCAGTCGTGGGAGATTATCAAATGTATATGTGACGCAGGCGTAAGTGTGTGTGTGTGTGTGTTTGATTTAGGGGCCCGGGCATCAGGCACACTACTTTGTAAGCGCCACATTTACCGTATTTACATACACATATATAATCGACAAGCGAAGCAGATTATATTGGGCTTTGCCACCCCAACAATTGGGGCGTATTTTTCGTTATTTTTTTGCTTAATGAGAACGTCGCGTTTCCGCATGCCCTTCAACTTGCTTGCAGCGGTGGTCTCGTCCACAAGCTAAAATAAACACAAACACACATACACAGAGAGCGAGTAAGCAACCGCAGAGCACTTACACAATGAACGAGCTCGCACTCACGTAGACCATCGCACAGAGAAAAAAGTAACACACTCACATAACATGGACGCGAATGCGTGAAAATCAATGCGATGCGTCTAAAAGAGATGGAGCGATGAATGAACGAATGAGAGAGAATCGTATTAAATGATATTAGAAAAAACGAGATGAAACAAAGAAGAAACAGCTGTAAATACATACATAAGTTGGTGTGTGTATGTATGTATGTATATAGATACTTATGAATATACGACCGTATTAAGTAGAAGAATACTACGTTTGAGACTCCAATAAAATTGGGTCAATGGCCCAGTTCAAAGTCGCTCCCAACGCGAAATTCGATTTTAATAAGAGACCCAGCAGCAAATGTATATATATAGACACACACATATATACAGACATACATATGCAAGTCGTTTATTTTGATCGATTGCGGGCCCTTTGACTTTCGTATGTTACGTGCGGAGTCAGCGAGCAGGGCACGTGCACCACGCGACAGAGATGTCACCTATTCAATTGCAGTCACGACTCGAAGTCACAGTCACTATCGCAGTAATAAAACGCGGTTATACCATATCGCAAGTATTTTTTTTCTTAGAAAAAATATTATTTATAACGTCGCGAGATTAAAGATAAGGCAATAAAATATCTTTGCAATTGAATAATCGTGTGAGTCACAGCAATATGATAATCACCACATTCTGCTCATCCCTAGTATATAGAGTCGATGCTGTCGAGAGCGGCGCATACGCACCGAGCGGCGACCTTGTGACGTGCGTTGCCAGACGTAGCTGAAACTTCTTATATGTGTGCATGTTGGTATGCGTGTGTGTGTGTGGCAATTTGTGGGGTTGAAAATTGTATCAGCTGTAAGTCAATCATTGGCTCAAGCAACAGTTTGCTTTTGTTTTTGCCAGACAGAGTTGTAACTGGTTTTTGCAAATGTCACTCGTTCATCGTTCACCTTTCTCACCTCAAATTAATTTGACCAACACTTGCTAATTCTTTTTTGTACGCTTTATTTACACTCGAAAACTTGTTTTACAAGCGACAAGAAATGACACACACTTTAAAACACTACTCACAGGTTGTGCATAATTCTATGGGGCGGGGAATTTAACAAAATGAAGTCATACGACATGCCGCCATTGCTAATTGTTTGATAAAGAACAACAAATTCAATCCGATCCCATCCGATCCTAAGAAGTGGCCCATAGGAAATCACGGTGCAAACTCGCTAATAATGATAAGCGGAATCAAAATAAAAACCTATAAATGACTTGGGTACGCGCGGCACGTACGCAAAATACAATTAAGACAACGAGAGAGAGAGAGAGAGAGATCGACTATGAGAGTGAGAGTGAGAGAAAGAGAGAGAGAGTTAGGCCACCCAAGTGTAAGAATAACGGGGACCACACAACGTAAAATAAAATAAACAAAAACAGGCACACCGTACATTAAATACCCTGCAGCTTACCAGTTTACATTCAAATTTCATTATAAATTTTATATTATTATTTATTATATCCATCACATCTATATTTCTATATTCTATATTTAATCAAGGTAAATTTAAAACTAAGAAAACAATGGTTGATTATTATTACTGTTACAAGCTTTGCATACAATTAAAATATTCTGCAATGCAAGGGTATCAAAACGATAAGCAGATCGATGAATCAATGAGAGTGACACTGAAGTCATCGCAACAATTGCGAGCAGAATTTCACCAACTATCTGCCTGTGAGTGTGCTTTTATATCTTTTAATACAGGTTGTAAAAATAAAATATATAAAAACAATTCGGCCAACTGCGCAACAGAATAATGACAAAGTCAGTGGCGTCGTAGACTGCACATTTGCGAGAGGTGTTAACTAATCACATACACACATACATATATTACAATATATATATATATATTATATATATAATATACTTGGACGTGTACGTGCAAATAGGCATTGGTTTTGTAACGATGTGCATTAAATGACGCTGCACGTAGCGGCGGCAAGAAAAGTAAACATTTTGGGACGTTGCGACGTATAACGTACATGAAAACTGCACACACCAAATCTAATCTCAGGGCACATATTTGTTTTTATGACAAAAAAAAAGCAATGAGAGCAAATTAGCGAAATGGGCCTGAGATCTAAGCACGTAAAGCTTATCGCTAATAAGCGCCACCTATGCATGCAAACATGTGTATCTTTGCACACATGTATTGGTGCGTAATCTTCGCCAGGGCGTTGGTTTCACTGCGTATTTACGCGTGTGTGTGTTTCATTTATTGCAGTAAATCTTAATCAGAATATAACTTTGTCCGTTCTACAATTCGCATCGAATGAAAATGAAAAAAGTTGAAGGCAAACAAAATGATTTAATTAATATAAAATATTTACTATGTCATATATGCAACTTTAGAAACAATAATAAAACTAAGAATGAGCTGTAAGATATTATTCGATATCATTAAGGCAAATAAAATTAATTGTCATTTATTGCAGCTAACTTTAACCGTTCTACAGTTCGCAGTGAATGAAGATTTAAGAACTATATTACTTCCATTAATGGAAAATACAATCCACGCACATAACCCGAGTTATCTACTTCACTAGAAACAAATCGATCAGATATCTCCCCTTTTATATCCCATTATTAATAGGATTATCCCCGATTGTCCATCGACAAAAAAAGGTTCTGAAACTGATTTTAAATCTGCCTTGGAGTGGTTCCAGCATTGACCTGCTTGGAAGAGCAAATATTGAGATGATAGGGGACAGGCGCGATATTTAATTGTTCCACTTATGATAATATTAATCCATTAATTACTTTATACACAGATTTTAAGTAGCTTTAAATGTAAAAATTAATTATATTAGTTTGGTAAATACAAAATATTGACTATGTCAGTTATGAAAGTTTATAAATAATAAATATATATTTTTTATTTTTTAGTGATTTTTTAGCAACTAACTAGTTGCGTTAAATAAAAAAAGTGTTATTTGAGAAACGTTTGCAGATTGATTGAGAATCAGGTTTGTTTCGAATAATCTGTATCACAATTAAACACACCCATATTTTCTGTAGTATAGTCAAAAACTAAGTAAAATAACCAAAAATTTCGAGCAAAATATCGAATACACACATTGAAACCATCCACATTGAATCTATCCATCCTCACACAGATACACAGACAGACAAATTTTGGCTAGTCTATCAAAATAGATTTAGATAAATAGGTAGATAAATCGACAACTATGGTTGAGTATACGCGTCAGCCGTGTCCTGTACGGATTGTGGAGGATTGCGGCTGTGCTTTCATGATGGGCTGCATCGGTGGCTCCATGTTTCAGTATGCGCAGGGATTTCGAAATGCTCCAACGGGTGTCTGGCGCAGCCTTTACGGCGGTTTGGATGCCGTCAAGATGAAGACACCGGCCATTGCCGGCAGCTTTGCTGTGTGGGGCGCCACCTTCAGCACAGTGGATTGCACCATGGTGCACTATCGTCAGCGTGAGGATTCGTGGAATTCGATTGTTAGTGGCGCCACCACTGGTGGCATTCTTGCCGCACGCAACGGACTTAGAGCGATGGCAAATGGGGCATTGGTCGGTGGTTTGGTGCTGGCCATGATTGAGGGCGCTGGCGTTGCGGTGGCAACCATTTATGCCGCAAGTGCAAATATGAGGCAACAACGGCCCCAATGGGATCGCATCAATCCCATCCACCAGATGGAGGCGGACCAACGACAACCAGGAAACGATGCTTTGGCTGAAATTGAGCGTGTGTTGGACAAATGCAATGCATACAAAAGGAGATCCACACAGCTTGCGGCGGCGCTGGGACAGCGGCCACAACAGCATCAGTTCATCAACATGGAAACCATGGAGTATGCCAAGCATCCACCTTCCTTGCTGGAGCTGGCCAAAATCGCCAACATTTTTAAGACCAACTGAGTTCAAATTCTTTTATTGTATTTCGGCTCGCACTTTTTGTGTATCGACCAAAATTTAATACATGTGATTTGGACGTTAACTATAAGTAACAGCCAGTATTTGAGTTAAGAGCTTTTCTATTTATTTCAATTGGCTAAAAAAGAAGAAGCAGCAATAACAACAGCAGCAGCAGCTGAGCTGATCGAACAACTTCCATACTGGAATATGGTTAGCAGTTGTGCAACACTGCAAGAAAAACTCACCTGCCGCTGCCCATAAAGCTGGCATCCGTTAGACCAATCTGATAGCTGGAACTCTTCTCACCATTGTGCTGGTGTTGGTGATTATGATTATGTTGCGAATTTTGGTGTTGATTAACGTCGCCAGATTGCGCTGTGTGCGGCGATGGCATTTGAGGCTGCGCCAATAAGTCGAACAACAGTTCGTCTAGATCGTTGGGCCAGGATTGAGTCTGTTCCGCTGTCGTCATCATTTGTGCCGTAGAACAATTGGCACCACTCACATCCAGCGTTGTGGCTGCCACCGCCTGTTGCAGCTGTTGCATTTTATTGTTGCTATTGTTGTTGTGGCTCTGGTTCTTTTGGCGCGCCAACAGACGACAGTCGTGGCGATGATTGGGCCAATCGATGTGCTGATGCTCCGAGGAGCAATAATAGATGCTTTTGCATTTGGCGCAGCGCAACAGTTGCTCGCATGTGCCACAGATGGCACAACGTGCTGGCATCGATGGTGGCTTCTTCTGCATATCCTTGTCGCGTCCGCTCTTCTACAACATATTGGCAACGCCAGCCCTCTGCGAACCTCTGGCAACGTAACTTATCTGAAATATTTTCAAGCGGCAAATTGGCCAATTTTTGCATTCAGGCCCATTTCACCAGCACTCGTTCAACAATTGGACTTTCTGTCTATACTATATAGACTGCATGCATTTCAATCACGTAGGCCAAGCCAACAAATAATATATATAAACAATAAAATACGTAGTTGTTGTTGCTGTTGTTGTTCGACAGCTGCGTGTGCTTTTATTGCTTTTGCTTCACTTGCACATTTATGCACTCACACACACGGCAGAGGTATACGTGATCAACGAGTGCTCTTTTGCGTATTTCAGCATAAAATTATGGTTTGCAAATGCAAATTTATAACAAAAAAACATATAATATGCAATTCACTTTCACGACGATAGCTAAAGTTCCGAACTGAACTAGTGCTATCGATTGTCGATGGCATGGGTTGGGATTCACAAGTGCTGCAAAACACACGTTGCCAGGTCCCGAAATCATGATTATTATATGTGGCACAAATGTACCAAACCGACTGTTTTACTTATTTTAACAGAAGTTATAAATTTCATTAAACACTTCTTTAGATACAAAGAAATCATGTTTTAATTTATGGCTTACAATCTAAAGGTAGAGACAATAGATATTTGTAGAAAATATTGCAATTAGTACAATTTAATTTCCCACTTTTAATCAAGGGAGGTTCTGGTATTGGGTACTGTTGCCAAATCAGAGCAGCTGTTGTAATACCGATAGCTATCGATATAATTGCGCAAGCCGGTTAAAGTCTGTGATGTTATCAGTGCTTTTGTTTTGAACACATGGCTCCCACTAAAAATCATATCAGTTTGTTTTGAAAGTGTTATTTTATACAAAATAAAGCATGGCACAAGCTGAATCAAGCACCGAAGTTGTGCTAGTTGATATCGAGGGCACCACAACTTCGATTAGTTTCGTGCACGATGTCCTCTTTCCGTATGCCAAGGAAAATGCCAAAGACTATCTGCTGGAAACATGGCAGACGGATGAAACAAAGCTAATTGTAAAGGAACTGCAACAATTGCCACATTACACGGAATATGCAGCGAATCTGGCCACACAGCCCACATTGGATGCTGAGGCAATCTCCCGTTTTGTGCGTTATCTGATTGAGCGAGATTTGAAGGTGACTCCGCTGAAAACGCTGCAAGGCCTTATCTGGGCCAAGGGCTATGCAGACGGACAGCTGCGTGGACAGTAAATGCAATGAAATAACAAAATATGAGAATAAAATAAAACTCAAACTCGAACTCTTCTTCTTCTCACTTGCAGTGTTTATGAGGATGTAGCTGGTGCCTTTGGAAAGTGGCATCAGGATGGAATTCGGATTGCCGTCTACTCCAGTGGCAGTGTTGCCGCCCAGAAGCTCATCTTCCAGCACAGCATTGCTGGCGATTTGCTACCACATCTCAGCGCACATTTTGACACACACATTGGCCACAAACAACAGTCGGAATCGTACACAAAGATTGCCGAATCGTTGCAGGTGCAACCACAACATGTCCTCTTTCTCACAGATGTGCCACAAGGTGCGCTTGCCATCTCTTTGTGTTTTGTGCCACTTAAATAATAACTTTTCCTCTTTGCAGAGGCTGCTGCGGCGCGTGCAGCCGGCATGCTGACCACTCTGCTGGAACGTCCTGGAAATGCACCGCTCAGCGAGGAAGAAAGAAAGAAATTTTCCAGCGTTGCAGACTTTACGGGAATTGTTGTATAAAATGAAATAAAATGATTTTTGAATTAAAATTGGCTTGGAAATTTTGAGTAGAAGTTAGAACACTATTTCTAAAACTGATTTTTTGCATTTTGAATTTCTTTTTAAAATCTCGATTTTAATTATTTTAAATATATTTTTAATTGATGTGTACAAATTTTGTTATATTCAAAACTAAATATTTTTGGGCTAAAATTTTGAAATGACGGTAAAATTAGATAAAGAATTTCATTTAAGAATTAGATAACATATCCATCTATTATCTTATCTAGGAATTGTATAAAACAATATGTTGATTTTGGAATAAATTCCAATAGAAGATTGAGGCTTGTCCTGGAAAACTATCTCATTTACATCAAATAACATTGATGAATTTATTAAATATAGAAAAAAGCAATTTAAAAAATTAAAAAGTAAATCCATCGTTGCAGACTTTGACGGAATTGTTGTATAAAATAAAATGCTGATTTTTGAATTAAAACAGGCTTGCAAATTCCAATAGAAATTGGAGACCAGTCATGGAAAACTATTTCATATGTGAAAAGATTAAATTGATACAATTTTTAAATGTATTAAAATGTATATGCAAAAAAAAAAATTGTATTATGTTTATTTTAATTTATGTGTACAATTTTATAAAAATTCAAATCAAAATATTGCATTCAAAATTTGTATCGACGGTCAAATTTGATTAAAGAATTCATTTAAGAATTAGATAGCATTTTCTATCTAAATGTGGCTGCTTAAACACTGGCAACTTGTTGTTACTGGATATATACATATATATATACATATATATATATATATATATATATATATATATCCTTCTCTAGTAAGTTCAATGAATATACTCAAAGAAGATTGAGCTTTCCAACTGAACTTTGCAATGACTACAACAAGTTGCAAGTGTCGCAGACTGGAGGCAGAGGCTACTAGAGAAAGGCGCGATCCACGCTGCAGAGGTCGTCGCCGCTGTCATGCGGTTCGGGCGTCTGTTCCACCGTGTGACGCCGCCGCCGGCAGCTGGAGCTGGATTGCCGCGAACTGGATGGTGGCTGCTTCAGTTGGGCACCATAAATCTTGCGCAGCTGCTGCAATTTGGCATCCGGATCGGCATTCTTCTTTGGCCTTGGCTGCTTGCACCTGCTGCTGCGCTGCTGGCTGCTCTCGCAAGCATGCCGCATGCCCTCGCTGCGGCAACTGTGACTCAGCTTGCCCACCTCCGGCCCCCAGAACGTGGGTCCTTCCAGCAGCAACGGCGCCGATTTGACACGCTGCCGCATCAGCTGCATGTGCAGATCATATTGACGCTCCTGCAGCGACTGCTCCGCCTTGCGTGTGGCCAGCCGGATTGAGAGCAGCGCTTTGTGAGATTCACTGAAATTAAAAAAAAGTATTAATGCCGAGAACATTTCAGTAATATTTCTTGTAAACAATTATAACCTGAACATGTTACTTTAAAAGAATACACTACAAAATATATAAATCTGGGTTCCGATTGGTCTTCCGTCCCCAGTTATTAATTTGCGGTTTTTGATAGTGCAAATTTCGATTCATGTCGCTTTTTCAATCTAAAATTCTGAAATCTTATCTAACAGATTATCTATCCATATATCGATGAAGATTTATCTTCGATGATAGTAATGACAGATGCTTCTATGGATACAGACTTGGTTGCAATTAACAATTTTGGACTAAGACTAGGACTAACTTGAGCGAGAGCGATTTCCATGCCGGCGTTTTGCGCACCTCCCAGTCAAATTGTGGTCTTGGATCGTGGTAGGTGCAGTTGTTCTGTAGCTGTTTGACCTTCTGGCGCGAGACCTCGGCACGCAGTGTCGCTGCAAGATTGGGTCTTGCCACTGGATGCTGTGGCGATACGCTAGCCGTTCGCTTGGCCACCGGCTCCAGTTCAAAGATGTGCAACAGCGGCTGCTCCGTCGTCTGCGGCGCCTTTGCAACTTTCACTTTGGCAGCGCGTCGTCGACGCCGGCGACTTGAGCCAGAGCCGGTGACACTGCTGCGATTGGAGGACACCGACGGTGATTCAATGTGCAGCTTTGGCAGCTCACTCTCGGGCAATGCGACGGGTAAACAGTTGCCGCCACTCAAATCATTGACACTGAAACATTTGCGCAACATTTCGTGACGCACTTTGGCGCGCACCGCCGTGTGCATACCGGTTGCAGGCATCTGGCTGGTGGGCTGGTGTTGGTGGTGGGTCTGGTGCGTCTGGGTGCCACTGCTGGTGGATTTTGGACGCTCGGCGCTGTCGCGTTTGAACTCCTGCTCAAAGCTCTTGAGCGAACGCTTAAAGTCCGCCACCTCCAAGGCAAAGTCCTGTTTGAAGCTTTTCAGTCGACTCAAATCCCGTACACATTTCTCATACTCCTCACTCAGGCAGCGGGTGCTGTGTGGCGCCTCCTCCTGCAGCACAGGTGGTGGCATTCTCTGATCAGGCAGCTTTAACGTAGATATGCTGCTAGACTGCTTTAGCTTCAGTTTCGCTTTGCCTTTGCCGTTGCCGTTTCGCTGTTTCGATTTGTTGCAGCTGCTGCTGCTGCTGTTGCAGGCACTGAGGCAACGTTCCTTCTGTGGCGCTACTGGAACTGGAACTGTTGGAGCACGCAGCTCGCGGCTGGTGCTGCGCAAGCTTTCCAGCGTTGAGTAGAATTCCGCCTTGTGCAGATGCTTCACTTCACAGTAGTCTAGTAAATAATAAAAGAACAGCTTAAATTTGATAAGAAGTTTCTAAAAATACTTTTGGATAAAATATAGACCTAAAAATATAAAGTTTTTCTAGTTTTTCTTTAGAAATAATTTCTAAATATATTTCTAAAATTTAGAACGGCTTTCCCCAAATCGACAATAATCAAATTATGGCGATTATTTCCATTTTTTTAAGAATATTTTTTTATTGGCAACAGTAACAGAAATTTATACATGCAAACCGTAGCTTTTAGGAAGCTACAACAATAAATGTTGCACACTTTCTGTGTAATTTGGTGACTAACCATTGGCGCCAAAAATAAGGCCATTTACTAAAATTAAGGTCGACATTTTTTTATGAGTTTATTATCCTTTTTCTTTCTTTGGATTTTACAAAATTTTTCTTATCGATTTTGGTCATATGCCAAACTAAATTACCCGGTATGCTGTCGTAGAATTTGGCCAACGATCTGATGCCCGTTTGGGCAGTCCATGTTGAGGTTGTCGCTGCTGCTGTTGCATCCTGCTGCTGCTGCTTGCTGTTTGCTTTGGTCTTTTTGCCCATGCACAGCTTGGGACGATTGTAGACGGGCGCTGGGCAATTATTGCACGGATCTATGGGCACTTTGATGCACGAATTCAAATAGGCCAGCCCCGTATGCGTGCTCATAGTGGCTTGCTTCCGTTTTTTTAAATTTTGTTAAGAGCACTGCGCTTTATCAATATTTTGAATTCAGTCTGTTTGGGGGGATGTTATCGTTGCCCGCGGTTACCGCGACTTGCTATCGGTTGGTTTTGCAGCATTTCCGTTTTGGTCAGCTCATTCGTGTTTGTCCTGGTTTTGGATTGTTTGCATCCTGGAGCAGGTTGGGCGGGTTGACAATCACATAATACATTACATATCATGTTCATATTTGTTGGTATGATTAATTCATTTATATCAATTTGTCATTTCAACGTTTTAAAAATATTGCACACAATGCAAATCCAATGGTGACATCGATATTTATGATATATATCTATCGTTATCGCGAAGAGACGGCCGACAAATGGTATCGATTGAATTTCTGTTAGATCACTGTTATGACTTTGTTTACAGCTGTTTAGCTAAACTTTAAATCGTTTGGTGCAATTTGCGCCACAATAGATAACATTTGTGTGGAATATTACATATATCAATACTTGTGAAAACATGTAGCTTAGTTTCTGTTGGTGCACATGTAGCTTAGTTTCTGTTGGTGCACATGACGAATAAATTAATCAAATGTTTAATTTAAAATTATTAAAGCGCGCCCTGCTGGTAACATGAGAGTTTTTGGGCAACCATTCCGCGCTCACTGTTAATAACAGCATCAGATGTTAAGTTAGCAGATGAGCGGCGGTCATGCGACAGTTTAATTTCGTCTGTAAGAGGCGACGGTCCGTCAAGTGTAAAGTCTGTGTACGTGGGTGTAAAACAAACATACAATATAATATTGAAAACTGCGTAACGTGCCAAGCAAATTAACAATCAGTGTACGTGTGAAATTTGCTGATTATTGAAATTTGCGAAAGATTTAAATAAACTTGTCATCATGAAGCTGTACGCAACAGCAGCAGCAGCAACAGTTGCGCTCTTTTTGTTATTGGCCACAATCCAAACGACGCCAGCAGCTGCCGACGAACTGCAGGAGGAGGAGGAGGTGAGTTTGTTATTGTTGTTGTTTCTTTGTGATTCACATATATATTTCGGACAACAGTTTAACGCTTTTTGAGTGCAAATATCCAACTGGGGTCAGTAATTACAATTTACAGCTATTGCGCTATATTCGCTCGCTTGCTGTTTTTAACAATGCCTCCGACACATGCACACACACACAAACAAACTTACCAAACTCACACTACACTCACACACACATGCATGCTCGCGTACGCCATATTTATTTACATTTTTTTGTCTTGTTTTCTCCGCCTGTTTTCGTTTTCCCCATTAACTTTGATTAGTCAGCAAAAGAAAATCGTATGCATAATAAACCGCCGTAATGTGGATAACATACATAACTATAAGAAAATACATTTACTATATAAAGACACACATATACTCTGACTGTATTAACGCTTTTTGCTTTTATCATACTTATTTACAAGTCTGCAGTTTGTTGTTTTGCTTTGTCCATTTTTTGCGCTAGTTTGTTGCGTCGCCATTTCTGCCGACAATCAGCTGTTGTATCAGTTTGACCGATAGAACAGATCTCTGCCCCTCCCCCCTTTTCAACTTCCAGCGTTGATCTATTTATGGCAGGCAAATTGCGTCTTTAGCTCAAGCCCTCACTGTGCACTCTTCTGCTACGAATTCTAATCAGCAGAAGAACAAGAAGAACATGAACTTGCATATACAAGTTGAGATCGAAAAGAGAGAGAGAGAGAGTGCTTGAAAGAGAGAGTGCTTGAAAGAGAGAGTGCTTGAAAGAGAGAGTTCTTGAAAGAGAGAGTGCTTGAAAGAGAGAGAGAGGATTTTTATTATTAGTATTACATGCATATTTATATATATAAAGAATGCAGTTTCCCCTCTTTAATTAATGTAATCGCAGCTCAATTTCCAATGAGTCTTTTGTGCATATATTTATTTCATAAATATAATATTGGCTTCGCCTTTGTTATCCCGTCAGCTGCACTCAGGCATCCAGTGATTAGACTTTACGCCCACTGGGCTCAATTTTCCAATCGTACACATACACACACACACACACGGGCACACTCACACACATAGGGCAACATTCTCATTGGCTTTAGTACCGGTTTTCATGACAAGCTCATTATATACTTTGCCCACAACACTCCCCCGAGTGATAATTTGCGCCTTTTGTGTGTGTGTGTTTCCATAAAAGGGTCTTTTGATGGGAATTTGCTGTTTTGGGGCCATTTAGTGGGTTCAATAATTTTGTAATACCTCTTAGGCATTTATGTTGAATGCTTTAAGGGTATGCTTTACTTTCTTACTAAGCTGGATTTAAAACATTCATGCAGCTTATCTTAAGAACCATATAAACCCAAGCCTATTTAAGGAAAACTTGTCGACTAATCTGGCAATTTAAATATAAACTGGTGCTATTCATTCGATTACGTAAGGCTAACAAATAATAATAGAAAATGCGTTTAACAACTCAAGATTTTTACTTTTTTTGTATCTTCAATTTTAATTTATAATAGTTATGTTTCGCATGTATTTAATGAACATGCTCTTCACAGCCTCTTAGTCTTTGACCATTTTTTATTTTTATCACCGTTTGCTCTACCTCTGTAATCTATATTTTTTCTAAATCTAATCTAATATGCGGCCCCGGCTAAATTCTCTGACTTAATCGCAATCGTTCTTTAGTCACGATTTCAAGTAAAGCTTCGAAATATTCATGTTTTTTATATAGTTATATATATGTATATAAGGATATATATATATACACAATTTTGAGTCATTCACACCTTGCTAAGTGGCAGTTGCTATTTGAGCTGCCTCGCTAGTTGTTATACTGTGAACTTATTATAAATACGCAAGGGTATAATGAAGTTGTGCAAAAGCCAGAAGAAATTTGCTACGAATTCATAAAGTATATATATTCTTGATCAGCTTAAGCAGCCAGAATCTTGAGATTTTTAATGTAACTTCTCACATACTACAGGAAGACAAATATTTTCTAATGTTATCGGTTAGAGAATATCGATATAAGTCGATTTATTATTGATCAATTGTATAAATTAAATTAGGCTCGTATTAGAAACAAAGATTTTCTTAACGAATCGGCAAGCCTTATATGTATTTAAAAGCTGAATACAGGGTATCTCCCAGTCGAGTTAACTCAATAAGAGCATTCTAACTTGTTTTGATTGGCATTTGCAGCAATAGGCTGCGAATCATGATCAAAATTTAACAATGACTCAATGAGAATAAAATTCGCATAATGTGCTCATCAAGTTAATAATAAAGAGAGATATATATAACGAGACAAAGTGAGAGACAGAGAGTGAGAGAGAGAGAGAGAGTGAACGAAAGGCCATATATGATATCATTTTCACACAAAGTCAGTCTGAAGAGAAAGAAAAACGCATTTGACAAACGCTGACAGGAACTCGGAAACTAGCAAGTCGGATGCAATTTATGCTTGTGAATCATGCGCATGTGATTTTTTTAAATGACAAAAACACCCGGATAGCGATAGCAGACAGTAAAAACGCCTCTGGTAAAGTTTCTCGGAGCAGACATCAAGTTTAAATTGTTTGGTTTTGCAATTGGCCAGTTTTGTTCACGAATTGACTGAAAGAAAATGAATATATATAGTTGTACATCTATAAACACTTGTATATTCACACATTCAAAATATATGTGTACATATATATACATATATATGTACGTTCTTCACACAGTTCCGCATATTATTCATTTATGTAAATATTTTTATGCATTCGTTCGTTTTGTGCTTTTGTTGGCATATGGAAATCACTGACAGTTTTTTTGTTTGTCTTTTGTTTTTGTCTCTATGTGTTTATATCGTCTCCATTTTTCCATATATTTTATAATATCCTATATGGCTCTGGAAAAAGTTTTGTCTCTTGGTGTATCAGTCACCAAAGCAAAAGCGATTTAAAGTTGGACATAAAAATCGGAATTTATTATTTTTGTAGTTTTAAATTGATGGAAAAAATATATATTAGATATGACTGGAATTTATTATTTATAATTTCATCTCTTAGTAACATGTATTCATATTTAAAGTTATTTGTGAATTTAAATTTAATGTATAGGATATATTACTAAAGTAAGCTGAACTTAAATTCGATGCAGATCCAGTTCATGTCATATGCAAATAAGAAATCATTTTTATAATTTTTTGATTTATTTATGATTTACACAAGGATTTTTTTTACGAGCGATTTAATTGAAATTGATGATTCGGCCAAGAGTAATTGCCGTTTTCAGTAGCGGGGGTGGTTAGCCTACAAAATCCCGATTTCCTCGATCCCCCCTCGGTTTCCAGATTGCCACAGACAGGCCTCGAATCATTAATCTCATTTTTGTGTTGTTGCAGAAGCAGTTAAGTAAACGGTACTCAAGCCATAATTCGCTTATTATTTGATAGAAGCAATTTATATTCTGTTTCTGATTCATTGCATTTTGAGTTTTTAATTAAAAATTCAAACCGGTTTCTGTATTAAAGTTTTTTTTTTTTTTACTTTATTATTCATTGCGAATGCACACATTTGAGAGCAACACACCCATTTCGATGTTTTTGTCAGCAAACATATAACATTTTTATATTTAAAAAGATAAAAATTTATGATTATTGGAAAAAATTGAATTCATTTTATAATATGTGTTTTTTAAATAGTCTTTGATATTCAGGGAATCAATGTTTGCCACGCACAATTTAATAAATAAATAAACATATCAATTTAAAATACAATTCGGCAAAATTCAATATTTGAAATGGTTTTATAAAGAATTAAGCATGTTAATTAAGAAATTTGGATTTTCAGAGCTGAGAATGTTAATTTTAAAACCCTAACTTTGAAGAAAATAGAATAGTGTTTGTGTATATATGAATTGATTTAATGAGACCTTTTAATTTAATTAGAAGTATTAAGTTCAAGTGAGAATCTTGCAGACCAGTGTAACCGACTGCGGAATACTCTGATATTAGCTGGCATCGATTTGCTTGCGTAGCACTCTAATTTGCACACTTCCTCGGACACAGTCATTTACTAATATATAATAATTTGTATTCCAAGTTTTAAGACACTAGACAACTCAAGGGTGTCTATATGAGTACTCACGAACATAGTACACAACCAAAATAGACCCTTCTACATTAGAAAGCAGAGTATAAAAAAAAATCTCATTGTAACAAATGTTTTTGCAGTGGTGCTGCTTAAGAAGCTTTCATGCAGATGACTCAAAGAAAGTGCTTGAGCCAAGGTAAATTTGGTCATTAAAAGCGAGCCCAAAAATGCGGCAGAAGCGTCTGAAAAACACGTGCCTCCATCTGTCTTTTCGAGCAAAGCTAACCCTGAATAAAAAAATAAAAAAAACAAAAACACAAAGAAAAAAATATAATACGTTTGCACAATAGTCTCAAGAGTTAGATCTCTCCGGGGCGTTGGAACCACTGCTTATTACCTACTCAAAGCGCACAGCAGGCCAAAGATGTTGACAGTTTTTGGGTAATACCGGTTTTAATATTGCGTTTATTTGCGTATGTGCCGTGGTAGGTGGCAGGAGGGGGCAACGTTTTTTCAAAAATATTAATATGACCAAAAAGGCTTTTGACTTCTGACTAAGTTGATGTTTTTTTTTTTTTTTTTTTTTGGTTTCGCACTAAGTTTATGTATTTAATAACGAATAAATAACCACAGAATTAAAAATAACACTTTGGAACAAATTGCCAATTTGTAGTTTGACTGTTGCGGTGCTTCCCTTTTGCATTTGCTGACTGGTTTTTTTGTTGTATATTTATTTTATTCGTTTATTCACGTAAATTCAATTAAAGTTTTTCGACATTGCATCACTTGATACCCCAGCGAATCGCTTTTATGTGTCAATCCAGCCAACTCCCCATCTCCCAATCCCCATTCAATGCAATATTAATGCAAAGAGCCGCTTGCAGAAGCCGTTGCATCAACATCAGCACCAACAACAACAGCAACAGAAACAGAAACTTTGCCATTAGCAAAAAGTTTCGATAAAACTCTGTCGAACGTTGCCATTCAAAATGTCTATAAAATGTATAATTAAGTACGATTCTATAGAATATAGCTTTGTTTTTATTCAACCAATTTGACTGCGAAAGCCAAAATGATAGTTAAGCATAACAAACACAGCTATATATGAGGTAATCAGATAATCAGATGCGGAAAAGTTTCCCTTAGGTGCTCCCATTTGCGAAAGCGCAGGTTTATTCCATTTTGAAAACGAATGCTGTCAATGCAGACAACTATTTGCAATTATTTGTAATGTACTCTGTACTGTTTTTAGAAGTTATACAAACAAGACTTTAATTATCATTTGTTATATTTCCAGCTAAAATAGTTAACTTGAGTACAATCTTCTTTGGCCAAATACTTTTTGCATTTGCCTTTGGCTCTGCACGATAAAAAATGCTGCTGTTTATGAATATTATTATAATTATTTTAATATTGTGTACTACACAAATATATTTGATTGAGCTCAATTTGATGTGCTGAACAATTTAACAATTAATGAGAATTATTGCTTTATTATTGGGAAACTTTTGCGAAAGGATTAACAACAGAGATGAAATTGAGACTGAAAATCTTCGCTGGACAGGCAGTTTTCCACTGAGCTACTCCTGTTCAATTATAACTTAATCTTCTTATCAGCTCATATATATTTGTTTCTTTATTTTTCGTTTCTGATAATTATTTTCTCTCTCTCAGTATAAATTCTGCGGCAGCATTGATGCAGCAGCAGATTGTGGCATGGCATTAATTTGTGATGCGCATTACTGCTGGGGCAGGCACAACCAGGCTCTGGGGGGCATTAACAATGCAGCACAAACTTAAGCCTTGACTGGATATGGCTGCGCTATTTTTGCCGTTACTCATTCAGTTGTCAGGACAACAACGGCATTCAAGATGGAGCGCTCATGCCAATCTTCGAAGCCATCATCGTGTGGCTTATTGCTAGTGGGGGATGGGGAATGGGGGATAGGGGATGGATGTGGTGTTAGTCAAAGTGCCATAAAGTTTAATTGAAAAACAAGCTGAAAACAAGCTGCAACAAAAATAAAAACAGTGCCAGGACCTCAACTATTCAGCAAGCCATCAGCAGCATCACCACTAAACCACCCACTACTGTCAACCACTTGCACACAACGCACACAACATAATCAGCTCAAACATAAGCCAGGCAGGCATCAACCTAGTTGATGCTGATGATGACGCTGACGCTGACTGCACTGCTTTCGCCGCTGCTTTTGACAGCTTTCGTGACGCAATCGCCGTTAAAAGTTCGTTTTTTATATATATGCATTTCTGGCACGCTAACATCGAAGCTAAAAATAGAGTATATTGGTTTGTGCATCTGTCGAGCTTGAGAGGGACTTGAAACCACAATACATATCATCCACAATTTTTAAACTTATCTCTGAATATGTAAGCCAAAGAAGGTAATAAGTCAACAGGATAATAACTTCTTTCAAAGAGTGGTTAATATCTTGGACAAAAATCGGACAATCCTATATCTGCCACAATTTAATAGCGTTGTCAATTTTAAAAGTTGCACTCTTAAAAGTTACACTGGCAGCAGAGTATTTTGCAGTCGTTAACGCTCTCCGCCCACATTCTGTTCATTTTCGGCATTTTGTCACGCAGCAGACACAAATGTCAGCGACAATGAGGATGAACAAACTGAAATGACAACCATCTGTCTTCGCAGTGCTCTCGCATCTCTTCAGACTCAACTTGGCCAACTCTTTCTTTTACTCCTTTTATACACAGAATACGTTAAAAATATGTTAAAACACAGTATCATCAAGTTGTGTTGTGGGGTATATGCATAAATTCTGTATATATATAAATACATAAATTCATCGGTTGACTTAGAAATAACTACCAACTATATTTGAAATTTTAGTTTAATGTTTACTCCCGTGGCATTTAGCAAATCTGCATGCCAAATGCAATTACAAAATATTTATTTTTTTGAAACTGGGGAATGAGAGCACATAAAAGCTGTTATCTTTTGGGAAGCCGACTTAATTAGCTTTAACTTTATATGAAATGAGCGCAGAAAGAGAACACTGCTATCAGAAAAATGATCTATTTACGAATTAATAGTGGTTTGTGTTGTGTATTTGTTATTTATATATATATCATTTATGTCAAATTTAACGATATAAACTGGTTCAGTATTTGTCGTTCATTGCCCCTGATAAAAAATAAATCGTTTACCAAGCCAAGGTTTATTTATTTTTGCACACATCTAGCAAGTTGGCAGAGGTCGAAACATCTAATTGAAAATGTATATTTTAAAAATAGACGAAGAATATTTAATTCTAGGAATGTGTCATCCTCAATTCCACTAATTGAAGAAAAATGTATTAAATTGACTGAGACTTTAAATCAAATACTTGAAAATCCTCTTTTTATTAAGATATTAAAACGATCAAAAAATAAATTAAAAATTTAAAACTTTAGCTAAAGCTAACTTATGTTAGCTCTGTGTAAAGGGTATCTACTAGTCGATCAACTGCAATCAAAATAGTTTTAGTTGTTATGCACCGAATTTGTAAATTATTCAGCATTTGGGAGCTCGTCTGTTGCCTGTTTGTCGTCTGCTTGCAGCATTTTGCGGCTCATCATTTATCGATGGGGAGACTTTTGTTGTTGCTGTTGTTGGGCGCTGATGCAAACCCCAAACCGGTTCGCTGTGATGCGGTTCGCTGTTTGCATTGGCGGTTAATTAGTTTTTGTATGGCTTGCCTTGCCACAAGCGCAGAGCGAAGCTTTGCTCCACTGATTGACTTGATTGGCCCAATGGCTGCTCCATCTTGCCCAGCTCGCTTCTCTTTCTTCACTCTTTCCTCGTCTCTGCCCCTTTACAGAGTTGCAATGTTATTGCAATTATGTCGAGTTCATTAGGCCAGTCAAGTGGAGAGTTGGCGACGCGACGGTCACTTTGTGCAACGGCAGCGGCAACAGCCGTAGCCAGTTACAGGCTTTGCCTCAACCCCCAATTTAATTTGAATTTAATCGATTTTCCTTTCCTTAACTGCATTACATAAATTGAACGCATTTAATAATTTCGTCTGGAGGCAGGTTTCCCATTAACGCAATATTAATTGTTTTAAGTGACAACAAGAGTATCATTAAACATGAATATTATGTAGCTGATTGATTTACGATTATGATTTGATAATGTTAAGAATATGAAACAGACAGAAGAAAGTAACTCTGATCAGGAAGAGTATTTTTTCTATAGAGTATAGTATAGTATAGACTTTAAATTTCAAATATAAATTTTCGTAACCCCAACTTTAATCAATTTTAATTGATTTTATCGAAAACTCACAGTTCTTCCCGCTTAATTGATTTATTTATTTGATGAGGATTAAAAACAGTTCACAGGTATTAAAAAGGTTTTAATAAATACACATTTAAAATTAATATAATGGATTGAATACAATAAAATTAAAAGCGATAAATAAAAGTAATAATTTAAACTGAAAGATAAAATTAAATAAATAAATCATATCGACAATTCCAATCTAAACCCATATTATATATTATTTAAGTGTTTCCAAATGGTTTCATGTAACTTTAAATATAACATATATATATATATAATCTTTGCTCAGACATTTTTCCTTGAATCCTTGCTGATTAGGCAATATCTAAAGCATTTATTCCGTTAGTCATGCTCGCTCTTAGACTCCAATAAATATTGAATTAAGTATTTACGCAGACCAAATAGGCAAATATCTCGGAGATAAATTAACGCCCTAATTGCTTAAGAAAATGAGTTTACTTAGCAAACGCTGACTTTGCAGCTGCGTTGTTGTTTTGTGGTTTTTGGTTTATTTATGTAAAAGCGGATATGCTTTATGGTTATTTATTCTAAGCATAAGTTTCAGAAGATTTCTAACACTTTTGTGATTTGGTGCTGGCACTGGGACATAAACATATTTATACATTCACATACACATAAGCACAACAAATATAAATCCATTTAACCCTTTTCATGGCTTTTTGCTGCTGCTATTCATGTCTCAAAATTTATATCTTCAGAGTGTCTCTTTCACTTTCTCTCTCTCTCTCTCTCTGATGTGTGTGTATTCTCCTTATACAAATATATGTGTTTTGCTTTCTGTTCTTGTCTTTCTTTGTCACACACACAAATACACAACAACAACACACAACACACAACACGCAAACAAAAAACACAACACACAACACAAAAAAAAAAAACAAACAAAAAAATAGACCACAACAACGATCAATGCTGATGAGGAGAGCACAGCTGAGGCGATCACCGAGCCACCCATCAAATTGGTCCATGTGTTGAATCCTGGCGAGCGTGAATATCTCTCGCCCAATTTAATTGGTGTCCAGAATATTGCGATGACCTTTCTGCCGCTCTCGATGAACTTTGTGAACATCATCGATGCGTTTCGTGAAATCGTGAATGGTATTCGCTACGAGATCATACTGAATGCCGTCGACACAAAATCCAAGGATGCGGACACAATTTGCCGTCTGGTCATACTGGAACAGCCGTGGATAACAACGCAGTGGGGCGACAAGCATCGCGAACTGATCAACTCCAATTGCAGTGATGTCGCCGATAATTCGCTATCCAGCGACATGGAGCCGGAGCAGCGCTCGAAGGCGCTCAATGACAAATATGTGAGTAACAGCATCTTCAATGGCGGCAAACGCAACGAACTCACCGACACTGAAATGGCCAACCTAGAGGCACAAATATTGACAACGGTGCCCAGTAGACGACCCACAACAACCAGCAGCCCCCCGCTGACCGAGGCCACTAATGAGCGCACAACACCAATTAGTGTTAATGAGGCAGCAACAGTGATGGTCACTGCTACAGCTACGGCTACTGCTCCAGCTCCTCCTGCTCCTTCTGCTCCTCCAGCTGTTCCAGCTCCTGCAGAGAGCAGCACAGCAAGCACAGCAGAGCTCAATGATAATGAGAAACGCTGGCTGGACGATTTCCTATCGGTGGGTGCGTTTAATTTTGAAAAAACCATCGAACAGCAGCGCTCCGAGCTAAAACAGCAGCAACAACAAGTGGAGCAACAGCACCAGCAGCAGCAGCAGGACGAGGGGGAGCAGCAAAAAGAGGAGGTGGGACAGAAGGAGGAGCAGGAGCAGCAGCAGCAACAGGAGGAGGAGGAGCAGCAGCAGCAGCAGCGGCGGCAGATGCAGAAGGAGGAGGAGCAACAGCAGGAGGCTTCATCATCGTAACCATCATGAGATATAAATATTATTATCATCCCCACACGCACAAGGACACCCTCACACAAACACCTACATGCTACGAGGGTAGTGCCAAAAGTACCTGAGAGTACCTATCAGAAATGTAGGCAACCCATTTTCATCATTTCTAGTCCCAAAAGAAAAGTATTTCTGTCTATTGCAATAATTGGTCAAAGCAAAAATAAAAATTCTAAAATTCACAACATACTCGACGAATGTTGGATGTACAGAATGTTCTGCCTTGTGTCATCATTCGAGAACGTAAGAGATGTTGCTATTGGAATCAGGCTATAGAATTACATGTTTCTCACTTGTCTTTCTTAATTTCTTCACTTATCAAACTTTTTATTGAGAATTATCTATTAAAAAGCAAGAATTTTTAGTTGAAACATTTATATCAAATTACTAAACGTTATTAAATTCTGCTCTTAGCTTGACGTACTTATCCCAGTGGTGCTCAACATCTTTGATATTATTTATGTCTTCATAATCACAATCATCATGTTCACAAAATAGCCATAGATTTAAGCATTAATTTAATCAATTTCAAGTTCACAACTTATGCTTAAATCAATCAGTTTGGTTACTTCTGGAACTACCCTCTCTCACACACTGACACTCACCCAGTTTATGTTTTCTATATACTCCTATATATACATACGTACACAAAAAATACTCGTAAAGTAAATGCAAATAATAAAAAGAAAATGTTATTTAATTGAATTTATTTAAGCTGCTCGTTTTTCTCACACCTAACACATACCCCCCGCACCCTCTCCCCCTTCCCCTTCCACACAAACACACCTGAGCCTGTTTTTAGGGGGGTGGCGTGACTGTGTGGCAGCGTATGCAAAGCCCCCTTATTTCTTTTCCTCCCGCAGCACTTATTTTACCTTAATAATCAAATGAATTTCCGCTTTCAAATTACGGCCGCAATCTGTTTAACCCGGCCCGTGGCGCATCTGCTGCCCTACCTTCCCCAGCTCCTAACATTTACCAACACCTGTCTATATATACATACATATATATATATATATATATACTAGCTCAAGTGTCACATGGATGTGTGTGTGTGTGCGGTAAAAGTGCTCTCATTATCCTTGATGCTCTACTTTAAACACCACCAAACTGACGCATCGGAGCCGCACAGTCAGTCGCTATTACAATTAGAATTAAAAACAGAAAGAACAAAAAAAAATGAAATTAAACTAGAAAATACCCATATATTACACAGGTACTCCAAAACTTAATATATAGAAATACAGTTAAAAATCACATAAGCATTAATTAAAAACTTGGCAAATGAAAGTAATTTATCGGAAGTAAAAAAAGAGTAGGAATAAAAAATATAGAAAAATTGAAAATTGAAAATAAATATTAGTTTTTGTATTTAAATAGTTTAAAGCTGTTACATTTTTAGAATATTATTATTATATATGTGGTAGATGGTATTAGAATTGTGTCTTGAAGCATTGAAGGAAGCATCTCCCACCCATAGGAACAATCGATATATACATTTCTTCCAAACAAAAACAACAAATATAACATCTTAATTTTAGAGATATTATCTCGTAATCCAATCTGAAATAAAGCTATAACAGTTTAAAGGCTAAAATAAATAAAAGTAAAGGTAAACATTTAAATTTGACCAACATGAAAATAATTACACTTTTATGTTCTACACAAAATGTGTCTGCTGCGTTTCCTACAACAGATTTAAGCAGGATTTTTGTACAGAATTAATTATCATACATAATTAAAGGATTCATAGCTGTCTCCTTAACAAATGCACAACTTTGCTATACCCTTTTTAGTGAATGCATACAGGGTATAAGGAAACACTTGACCCCACAAAAAACCAGCTAGTCACTATGTATATATGTATGAATGGGTTGCTTATATATATGTATTTATGTATGTGCATATGCATATGCATATATATACTCGGATGTATATATGTATTCTGAAAACTCTGATTCTGAAAAGCTCATAAATCGCCGTTCAACTAAAAAAAATAGTAACCAAAACGAGTGTCGACAAATTTGCAATTTGTTAAGCCGATTTGATGCGTAGAGTAAGTAATCTGTGGTATTTGTAAATGCAATCGAGTGTCAGCCACTGTCAACTGTCAACCCGATTTCGGAATGAATTTTACGCTCCATTTGGGCCATGAAAAACCAGTTTAACCCTCGACATAATTTATGTTTTAAGTCTTGTTGAAACACACAACTGGCCAAAGTGTGGAGGGAGAGGGAGTAGGAGGTAGGCTCGGTAGGGTGTTAAAAGTGTGGGTGAGCTGAGGGTGCACACAAGCAGCCTAATGAATTCATGTAGCGGCAGGTCAAACGGAAACACAAGCGACTCCCCTTCCTGCCGTAGAACCCCCTGCAGCTATACATCTCACGAAGTTAAACCAATTTTTAATTATACACACGTCGTTGCCATTACATTTCATTTTGTATTGTTCTCCTTGCATCTGTCTCTCTCTCTCTCTCTCTCTCTCAAACCATCATCGATAAGCTGTGCTCACCTGCAGTGCCCTGCTCCGCCAGCTGCTCCACCACCTCCAGAGAGACGCTCAGCCATTTTGTGCCCGCTCTCAGCATCAACAACAGCCGCAGCAGCAGCACCAGCTAAATAATCTGGCATTGCCAACAGGCAACAAAAATTTTGCAGCCAAAAATGTTTGGTTTAATTGGTTTTGGTTTTGGTATTGGAATGGTTTCATCATGTGCCACATCTGTTATTGTTGTTACTCGCATCTGTGGGTGCGAGTGTGAGTGTGAGTGTGTTTCTCTGTTTCTATCTATTTGCTGGCCAAGTGGATTTTGTTAGCCAACACATTGGCCCCAGAGTTGGGCGCGTGTCGCACTTTGTTGCCTTGCGTGACTCACGCAAGCACGACTTATTACTGCAGGTATTTAAGTCAATAAATTGATTGCAAATATTGCTTATATTGAAATAAAAACTGATTATTGAATCTGTTTGTGTTATGAATATAATATTTTAAAAATTGTTGTATTGTTTAGTAAAATGTTAACAAGCTTAAAATCATTGCAAATGCTTGCCAAGAAATAATAAAACTATTTCGTTCTTAGTAAATCAAAATTTTAATTGAGGTTCTTTAACTAGAAATAAATGTTAAAAGAAAATCGTTTAGTTCAAGATTTAGTATAATCTCCATAATACATTCAAATTAAATGTCTCGCCAAAAATATCAACTGTACTTTTACAAAATCAATTGGAATTCGATCAATCTTCAATTAATATTTTTCAAAAATTGTTGGAAACCAATAATTTCATAAAAAAATGTAAAATATTGAATAGAAAATCAGTGAATATGAACTCAGAACTCAAAATATAGTAAAATCTCTATAATCTAAAAGGTATAGTATATTATGAACTCAAACTAATGTATTTCAGAAAATTATAGTTGCTATAAATAGTTTTTGTTAATTACAAGTTTTACCACTACGCAAAAGATTTGTGAGTCACATTTTCAGGCATGCTTCGTTTCCAGCTGATAGAATTAAAACACGCGTTCATCTCTACCCTATTTCAATTTGTGTGTTCAAGCATATTTCATCTTCGATGCGATTGTGCTCTAACTAGTTGAGCAGAGAATGATTAGTGTCCGAATCGGATGTGTTCCCCTTTTGATATCACAATTTAGGGCACACTCAGCAGGCGCAGCTTGAACTGTTTAAAGCATTGTTTTCACACAATCAAAATTGACTTGCCGTTAAATACGAGCACAACACAATTCAGAATACTGAAAATACTTCTTTTTTTTCCGTTTGCTACAAGTTTTTAAGCAATTTCAATTCGTGGTTGCAGACGCCAACTTCTCAAATTCGCCAGTAATTAAGATACATTTGTGGTGGCCATAAAACCAGGCGTGTTTTTGACTGTGATCAGATAGATATATATATATATATATATATAGACAAATGAAGCCATCGTCGCTGTTGTTGCGGCTTCGCAGCATTTGGATAATGACCAGTTGGATACGGAATGAGACATTGGCCGCTGCTGCGATGGTTGTGCATCGTCGCGAACAGAACATGGAGCGCCGCCAATATGAACAGATGCTGCAGTTTGCTGAAAGACAAATGGCTGCCAAATCACCCACCAAAAAAATGCACATCGTTCGCATATTGGACGACTACATTGTCCCAGTCGAATGTAGCTTGTAGCTAAAAAAAAAACTGATAGCTGCAACACCAAAAAAGTGCTCACTAAATTTTGCGTTGTCAATACCTCTAAAACTTTTACGGGATATATTTATTAAGCAACCGTTTGTTTTTTCAATAATATTCAAAGTTTATAACAAGTTGTGGCTGTCTTATTGAAGGAGGTTGTTTTTGAGGTATGATTTTACTAATTATAATTGGGTATTCCAAACTGTTAATTTAAAGCTGTATTTATGTTTGTGACCACCACTGTCGTAGACTATATTTGCTATATATTCAGAAGGCTATTTTAGCTTCGCCAAAAATAACATTTTTTTGTTGCTCTAATTTTGTATCTTTGTATGTCGTTTCATGTAAAGTGCTTATAACCTGAACTTTTTGCTTCAAATGCATGTAACAGGTTGAAGAAGGCTCTCCAAACCCAGAATGTCGAGTCGATTTAGTCATGTCTGTCTGTCATTACTTAAATTACTTAAAAACAAAAATAAGTATTGAGCGAAGAGTTTTTTAGACTAGTTTAATAGATCATAAACAGATCAGTAGAATATGACATACATATAAAATATATGAAATCAGATTTCTAATCGAGCTTTATAAAAAGATCAGTTGTTGGCTCACTCCAAACAGTCAAAACATTTATACAAATTAACCAAAATGCCATAGGCAAGCCTTATGTGTATGTAAAATATGAGTTCAGGGTATCTGCTAGTCGAGCAGTCTAACTAGTTTTCCTTATCTGCGGTCTGCTTATACACACATATTTTCTTTTAGTTCTATAACATGTAAAGAAATGTGAGTGATGTTTATACCCTGTAAATAGGAAATGTTAAATGAATTATTGTTGTTATTGTTGTTTTTTTTTGTTTGCAATTGCAGTCAAGCCGCATTAAGCGCAGCCTCAATGATGTGGTACCGGGCGGCAGAAAGCCCTTCGATGAGAAGGAGGCGGAGGAGCAGCTGCAGCGCACACTGGACAAGCTGACAGCAGGCGAAGGACCGCACTACAAGTAAGTCTTAAGGCTTATCATTATAACTTATTAATGAACACATTTCTTTTATTTTTCAAGGATTATCAAGGTGTATTCGGCGTCGCGTCAGGTTGTGTCGGGCACATTGACGCGCATCGATGCGGATCTGACGGATGGCAATGATGCGCTGCATCGCTGCATTGTGGAGATCTGGGCACAGCCGTGGCTGGAAAAGGGACACGATATCACATTCAAGTGCCGCAATCAGCCGACAGTCCATGCACGCCATAGCCGATCCGTTGAGTGGGCCGAGAAGAAGACGCACAAGAAGCGCAACCATCACACGCTCAACAAGATCGAGCATCTGTTCCACAAGTTCCAGTTGAAATACAAGCGTCAATATGCCAACACGGCCGAGCATCAGATGCGTTTGCGCATCTTCCGACAGAATCTGCGCACCATCGAAGAACTGAACGCCAATGAGCGTGGCAGTGCCAAATATGGCATCACCCAGTTCGCCGACATGACCAGCACCGAGTACAAGTTGCACGCCGGACTCTGGCAGCGCAGCGAGGACAAACCGACGGGCGGTGCGGCTGCTGTGGTGCCCCCCTATGCGGGTGAGATGCCCAAGGAGTTTGACTGGCGGCAAAAGAAGGCTGTGACGCATGTCAAGAATCAAGGACAATGCGGCTCCTGCTGGGCATTCAGTGTTACAGGCAACATTGAGGGCTTGTATGCCATCAAGACGGGCGAATTGGAAGAGTTCTCCGAACAGGAGCTGCTCGACTGCGATTCCACGGACAGTGCCTGCAATGGTGGCCTCATGGACAATGCCTACAAGTAAGTGTTCGATTTGAGCTTGGATTATATATATTTATATGACCGAAACTACTCCCTTTTGCAGAGCCATCAAGGACATTGGTGGTCTCGAGTACGAATCAGAGTATCCGTATGCGGCCAAGAAGATGCAATGTCATTTCAACAGAACAATGTCGCACGTTCAACTCTCGGGCTTTGTGGATCTGCCCAAGGGCAATGAGACAGCCATGCAGGAGTGGCTGCTCAGCAATGGACCCATTTCCATCGGTGCGTAATCGTCCACAGCCATTCAACTATAACTAATGTGTTATCTTTTTAGGCTTAAATGCGAATGCGATGCAGTTCTATCGTGGCGGTGTTTCACATCCCTGGGCACCGCTCTGCTCCAAAAAGAATCTCGATCACGGCGTACTGATTGTCGGCTACGGTGTCTCCGACTATCCCAATTTCCACAAGACGCTGCCGTATTGGATTGTGAAGAACTCGTGGGGTCCACGCTGGGGCGAACAGGGTTACTATCGCATCTACCGTGGTGATAATACATGTGGTGTCAGTGAGATGGCCACCTCAGCTGTGCTGGCCTAGATATGCCAAACCACAATCTATACATCTATTTATATATATATATATATATATATACTTATATATATGTGTATATATGCATCAATGTTAATGCTTAAGCTAAGGCACAAAATACGTTTTGGCTGCAGCTTTCTTTTCGTTCTAATGACACGACGATCCACATAAAATATCGTCAAGTTTTGTGGAACTTTTGTTCCGTGTGCAGTCCAAACAATACAATAACATCAATATAATCATGTCAAAACACTTGTAATCCATTAGGCAGCATTATACACAACAAAAAAAAAGAAATCAAATTTAACAGTGCAACGTAAATATATTGAAATAAATTTAAATATACAAATTGTAAAGAAAACCATTTGACTTTTTGTGTGAAAGAAGAGTTGTCTCTGCGTTTTACGGAAATATTATAATTTATTTATTATTATTATGAACTGTATATTAGTTTATCATTGCCTTCTCTTGAGGAGCGCTATTATGTTGATAAGTTTTAGCTTTAATGTTTATGGATGTTTTGCTTACCAGTTGTTTCTATAAAATCTTATTTTGTGATAAGTTTTTTCCCCATTTCAGAAGCATAATGACGATAATGATGAGCCTGGTAGAGATATCTTGGGAAGCACAATATTTTAATCTAAAAGAACTCAATATTAACAAAAGTGGTCAAATATTTTCAGTCAATTGTCAGAAGCCTTCAAAAACCTTTTTTCTTTCACAATTCATAAATGAATAAGAAGTCAAAATAATTTTTAAAAATATATCTAAGATCTTTTATTCATGAAATGCTTGAATGCAATCAGATTTTTAAACGAGCTTTATAGAGATAATGCCAGGACACTTAATAGTTCTCGTACTCGCTTAGCTTGATCAAGAGTAGCCTCAGTTTCCTGGCCTCCAGTCCAATGGTCAGCGGCTCGTTGGGCGTCTGCTCCGTGGCCGCATAGATGTTCGCCGGAGTGAATAAGCCATATGCCTCACAGGATTTAAGAAAGTTGAGCACCTCCTGCACGGCTGGAAAGGGCAGAATGATGTTCTGCTTGGCCATCCCAGTCAGCAGGCCGAGCATGCAGCGTTTCACATGCAGCCAGGTGTCCGCATAAAGGCGAGCACCCGATCCACCCTCCAGGGCGTGGGCGATGCGCGAGAGTCCGAACTCATAGTTGGACTTGGCGCAGTAGAGAGTGCCCACGACCAGATTGACAATGCACAGATGATGGTACTGCTTGCCCTGATTGCCCTTCAGCTCCTCGGCGTTCTCCACTTTGCGCATCAGCTCCTCGGCCTCCTCGTTCTGGAATGTCATGATGTAGGAGACGCACAGATTCGCCAGCACCGCCGCCGAAACGGACATGATCTGCAAAAGTGGATAACGAATAATTGGAATAGAAGACTTTCATCTGGTTTGGTTTGGGCCAGCCTACATCATCCGAGTGCTGGCGCACAATGGGCTCGTAGAAGGCAGCCGCCTCTTTGTACTTGTCCTGCATGAAGAGCACGTGTCCCGCATTCAGACGCCACACGGAACAGATGGCATTCTCCGAGCAGAACTCGGCACTGGAGCGAAACTCACGCTCGGCACCCAGGAAATCGTCCTCACGCCACGAGATCCAGGCACGTGCCATAACCACTGGCAAATAGCTGTGATGAAATGGGGAGAGTTTGGCATTGAGCAACAGAATTTTTGCGATTGCGTACGACTCACAGTTCCAATGCCTGTTCGTAATCCTTGAGTGCATCCCTGAGCGCCTGCTGCTCGCTGGTTGCCCTCACCTCCTGCACCCGGGCAGCCAGACTGCGCAGCTTGCCCGACAAACTGGAGGCAAGTGTGCCCAGTTTCTTTTCGGCCAACTCGCCGCTGGTCTGAGCCGTAATCAGTGCGTCCAATAGCTCATACAGATATTGCGATAGATACTTGTAGGTGAGATCCGTGTGCTCGGCCAGAATATCGGCGGCCGTCTCGTAGAGCTCATGCTTGCAGCAGGTCAGCAGAATGTTGGCAAACGTCTCCTTGGGACAGGCCGGTGCGCCCAGCTCCAGCAGGAAGGCCAACTTGCGTAGACCCGCCACCGGTCCTTGGGCATCGGTGAGTGCCATGTTGTGCAGCGTAACCGGATCCAGTTCGCTTTCGGCACGTGGCGGCAGATCGAAGAGTGCATCGCGTGCCGCCTCCACATTGCCATCCTGATACTCTACGGCGGCTTTCAGATTGAGTGCCTGTGTTATGCCCGATATAGCCATGGTGATGGGATTCCCAACACTTCGCGCACTGCCCTCGGTGTCCACCTGGGCACCGATGCCCAATTCCGGATGATTGCGCATGCCACGCTCCACAATCTCCGCAGTGTAGTCCAGTGCCTGAGCTCGCTGCTTGCGCTGAAAGTGCGCCAGGGCCACATTGTAGGCCACCAGGGGATTGAAGCCACCCACCTGGAGGGCGGTCTGGAAACGCTGCACAGCCGCTTCGTGCTGATCCGCTTGATAGAGCAGACAGCCCTCATCATTTAGAGTCTCCGCAGTGCTGCCAGCCCGCTGATTGAGTAGACTCTGTGCCCCAGCATAATCCTCACTGGAATACAGTATGGCACTCTGCAACTGCAGGCATTGTTCCCGCAACTCAGACTCCTTGTCACCGATCTGTTTCAGCACCCGCAACGCATCCGCAAAGATACCAGCCTGGTACAATGATTGGGCATAGTAAAATCTGATGAAGATCACAAATGGAATGAATTTTAATCATATATCCATTAAAATGCTTAATCTCTAGTCAATTCCGTCTATAATAATCAAAGAAATAGTTTACTATTTATTTGCTCATGAAGTTAATAAAAGTAATTACCACAAATTATTTAAGATTAAAAGTGATTAATTAAATTAAAATAGATATGAAAAAGAGCAAAAAAAGCATATAATCATTTTGTATTTTAATTGAGTATATAAAACTTATATAACTCAACTTATTCTCCCAATATCAAGAAATATCAATCGACAAACTCGATTTTTTTCTTATATTTCAACAGTCTTATTCCATATGCAAATCGAGTCTGCTGTTCAGCTGGGTGCATGGTATCTGCTAGTCGGTCAAGACCAATCTTACCTGTACTTGGGCTCCTTGGGCACAAGCTGGCAGAGCTGTTCGTAGCAACTGGCGGCCTCCTCGTACTTCTGGGCATGATAGTAGCAGTGACCCAGCGTGGAGAGTCCTGCTCGGGTATTCGCCGCCTCGCCGCAGTTCGCAATGCACTCGATGACATCCTCGTAGCGCTTATCCTTGATCTGACAAACAGTTGAAGTAACTAATTATTTGGTCAGCTACTATGACTAACCTTACCAGATTGTATATGGTTCGTGTGACATGCCCTTCACGTAGGATTATGCCCTGATGCAGCATTTTGTTGAGAACACTCGATTTGGATTGAAAATTTCTAATCGGGATTTGTTGTGGCGTCTGTTGGACGTTGTCATGGTTACTGCTACTTCCTGCTGTTGACCAATTCGTTCAGCCTTGACAACAGTTGCGCCATTGTAAATTAAAAATTGGGGATACAAAAATTATAATTTGAAAATGTGTCAAATTTGTGTAATATCAAAAATGTACTTCATTTTACATTTATATTTTTTATGGTCGAAGTTCTTAAAAAGATGATTCTTCATCTCAAAAATAAAAATATAAAATATCGATTCGAATTTCTGTTTTTAATTTCGAGCAGTTTGTAAATGATTAACCCGCTGTAAAAAGCATTATAAATATTTAAGAAATATAGCTTAATAATATAATAAACGGTTTCTTATTAAATATTCATAAATTTTAATATGTAGCTAATGAATGCATCAAACATGAATAATAATAATAATTCAAGCAAATCTTATCGAAATATGAAATATTTTGCATTTTATATTGTAATTTACATGTTTTAAATAAATGCTTTCTAAAATTAGTTTAAAAATAAGTTTTCACTGACAATTATAATATTTATTATATCTTTTATTATGCATTTAAATATGCGTTTAATTATAAAAAGAGGTCACCAAACAAAAAACAATTTAATTTGAATTTCGAATTTAATTTTTATTTGTATATTGTGGACTGTTAAATAAATAAAATAATAAATTGTAATTTTGCTGAAAACATTTGAATTTAATAGCTGAATGCAGTTAAGTATTTTATAAAAGTTCTCAGTCAGATTTTGTAGAATACCTTTATATTTCTTTCGTTTAAGAATATATCCATTTAAGATGCCTTATAAGATAATATAAATTATTTTCCACTATTTGCACTGGTTATTTCAGCTCTGTTTCAGTTTTGCATTTAATTGGAATGTTTGATGCCACTATGCACTGGCTCAATATGCTAATTAGATTTAAACCGGGGCCACTGCGTTGAAGCCACAGAAAGTGCCACGATTTGTGTTGCGGCAATTCGCATGCACTGCTCAGTAGCTGCTTGAAACGCCACATGTGCAGTTCCCAAAATAAAAATAAATAAATAAAATCACTTTGCAGCAATGGCCATGGATGACTACGACGATGACAGTAAGTAAAATTCGGATATGCATTTATCATACTACGATCTTTGGCATTCCAGTGAGCAGCGTGGGCGTAACCACGGCACGCATTGAGAACCACCAGCAGCAGCAACAGCACCAGCAGCACCACCATCAATACCCACAGGGTCAGAGCCAGCACAGTGCGGGTGCCGTCAAGGTGGGCGGTTGGCGCTACGAGGACGCCAGTCGCTACATTGGCGAGTGGAATCAGCGTGGACAGAAGCACGGCATCGGGCATCTGCAGTTGGCCGACGGCACTCGCTATGACGGACAATTTCTGGAGGGTCTCAGCCAGGGACTGGGCTGCCTCTGGTTTCCCGATGGCGCCAAGTGAGTAATAGTTTATTTCAAATTAATTCCTTAATAATCAGGAAATCACGAAATGAATCAAAATAAGAACAATATTCAAGAATACATGCCTTAGAAGAGAAAAGTAGAAAATTAACCTGGCAGAATATATTCCTTAAAAGAGAATTAAAACGAAATCCTAAATCAAGAATATATTCTTAGATTGAGATCGATTTTCTTGAATCAAGATTGTTATCTTCCTTCTTGGCATTTATTACTGAAATTGACATTCTTAATTTGAGATCAAAATGCTTCAATTAAAAGCATTTTTTGTAGATTAACAAGTTAAAATAGGTATTCACTTTTATGCGGGCAAAAGTGAATAATATTTAGATAAAATGAGTTAAGCATTCTTATTAAAATTAGTTTTGTTTCGAAATGAAAATGGATTAAATTGGTTGTATTTTTGCCACGAAATTCAGTAGAACTTTTGTCTTAAAATAAGTAAAAAGTATATGCAAAATAAAAATTCGATGACTTTTTACAGTTAAGTCGCTGCATTAAACAATTCTTTGAACTAATTTGCAATAACAATTAATATTTGGAAACGACAGATACGAGGGAGAATTCCATCAGGGCTGGTTTCATGGCAACGGCATCTTTTGGCGCTCGGACGGCATGAAGTACGAGGGTGAGTTTCGTGGCGGCAAGATCTGGGGTCTGGGTCTGCTCACGTTTCAGGACATGACGCACGGCTTTCCACGCAACGAGGGCTACTTCCAGGACTGTCGCTTCATGCGCAAACGTCGCTGTCCGGACATTGTGCAGCGTGCCCAGAAATGTGCGTTAATGGCGCGATCCCAGTGCGATCATCCCTATTAAAGCAAGCTGGCCACAAAATAAACAAACGATCAACAACAACAACCAATAAAAGAAAAAAAGACGCCCATCTAACATTTGTGCGTATATTGCTTTCATTGTCAATTGATTCATAGTTAATAACAATTTGCAGTCCGGCATCTTTGCCGTCTTGCTAATCCCCGGTGGGCGCACCCACAAGATACCAAGCGTTGCGTGCCATCACAGCGGCATTGCGCACCAGCCGCTTGGGATCGTCGAGTGCAGCAGCGAGCACCAGGGTCACATCCACCTTGTGGGGCAGCAGCAGATAAGTCGGATACTTGGTAATGTCATAGAGCAGCTGCAGCGCCGCAATGCGCACTTGCTGTGGAATATTCATTTGTTAATTATTTAATAATAATACATAATAATGTTCAGTTAAGGTGTGTATAGGAAAGGAAAGGAAAAGAATGGCTCTGCAGCAATCGATGGCCCACTGGTCAACTCTATAATGACTTCTGCAAAGCTGAAATAATCTTTAGAACAGATCTTCAGCTCCTGCCAGGCAAATATTAAATTTCCTGTGAATCCCCTTACTACGCGACCAACCCCACAATTAGTTCCTGCAGCCATTTTTGATTTAGTTATTGAACAGCATCTTTGACAGTCGAAACCCGTCTTACCTAACTTAATATACGGTTTTAGCTAATCACTCTTCTATTTATAAGTTCCCTAAAATGCTTTTTTTTATGTTTACTCATTTCATTCATTAAGCATAAACTTTAAAAATAGTCGTTAATGCAACTTATGCTGGAGGAATTTCTAGAGGAGCTCTAAGACAAGTTTCAAACAATACAAAAAGAAAGAATGAAAGTTACACAAAACCTTAGCTGAACATTAAAAAAAGAAAAAAAAATTTCACTGACCATATTAAGTGGCGGCTTTTGCTTGGACAATTCAAGGCAGCTGGGTATAATGTGTCCCAGATGCGCCTGGAAATACTCATCCTGATGGTGCACAAAGTTCGCGCAAATGCCCAGCGCTATGCACAGCGAGTGTGCATCGTTGTGGGTGTCCAGTGTCGTGAAGAGTAGCGGTCCCAGTTGTTCTATATTCAATTTGAGTACTGAATGTGGCGTTGCCTTCAGCACATAGATGAAGGCCTTGACGTGATGCTCGCAATACTTGGACAGCTTTGATCCCAATTTACCCATGATGGTTTGGAAGAATTTCTGCTGGTACAGAAACTTGACCACTGGCAAATCCAGTTCGGGAAACTCGGTAGCAATGACGTCAAAGGCAACAGCGGCGGCGCTGCTCAATGTGGGATGCTCCAGCAGTTCGGAGAGCTATAAGCATTTAACAACAAATATTAGCAATAGTAAACATATTTCAAAATAAATATATACATTGAGAGTCACTCACATCGCCAACCATATCGGCGGCCTCCTCGAAGCCGGCAACGACGAGTCCCTTGGCAATCCAGGCGAGCGCATGAACAGCATGCTCATCGCCCTCCTTAATGGCGGCCTTCAATCGTTGAGTGATGCGCTTGACGTGGTCGCGATTCGTTGAATTGTTGTCCATTTTGTTGACCAGGCTGCAGAGCAAGCGATGCGCAATGCCACGCAACTGTTCATTGTCCGCGTTGAGCGACAATTTGGTTAGATCGTCGAGCAGTCGCTCGAAGTGATCGTCGAGAGTGATGTCCTTGTGCAGATAGCCGAGCAGACCCTTGGCCACATACAGATTTGTGGCCAATTGCAGCTGCAACGTCGGCAAATATTCACTGACAATGGCGCTCTGCTCGGATAGCGGCAGATGTTGCATGATCCGACTGAGCGCCGCGGCAATCAACTCCAACGATGGCAGCGACAATTCTGGCTGTGTCTGCTGTGCCAGCTCGATCAGTTTGTGCAACAGATTCGATTGCTGTTGCAACTCCACAACAAAACGTTGATCCTCCTGATCGAGCAGCGAACTGAGCGCCTCGAGAGCCAAGAGGCGCGTTGGCTCCACCACATTGGCCGCAAACGCTTGTTGCATGACCAGCTCGAGAATGCGTTGCGTGAATGCGATTTGTGGCATCAGTGGCAACAGATTCGTATAAATCTTGCGCTTTATAAACTCGGAGAATATATCAAAGTTACGCATGCATATGTCAATGAAATTCGACTGCAACTCAACCGGCTGCAGTGCACCCAAACTGACAGTCAGCGATTTAAAGTCCAGATCGATGTGCGGATGACTGATTAACTGCACCAGGCACTTGTAGATGAGGGCGCGCTGCGATTCGCTCAGTGCCGGCGCACATTTGCATAGCACCTGCAGTGCGGCACGCTGCAGCTCCAGATCCTCCGGCTGCTTGTCCTCGAAATCCTCACGCTCGCACAAACGCAGCGCCGCAATCACATCATCCTGCAGTGGCAGCAATATGCTCTTGTCCAACTTATCCAGCGCATCACGCAGACCAGCCAATTTGTAGACCTGCGACATGATATGATAAAACTTAATGCGTTCCTCGTTGCCGCCGCCGCCGCTGCTGCTGCTGGTCGTGTTCAGCTCGATGGTCTGCAACTTGATCAGGAAGGTGTTCAATATCTTGTCGCCGGCATATTGTGCATCGCCAGAGACACACATCAGCGCAATTGCCGTCGCTGGTGGGAAGAGACGATGATGCATATCACTCAAATGGGGCAGAACGACGCCCAGCACAATGCTCTGATGATTGTGACTGATGCTCGGCTCCTTGGCGGCACATTTCAGCAGTTCGGCGAGTGCTTTCAGCGCATTGCGCACCACATCCGCATTTTCCGAGCCCGGAAATGTTTCAGCCTTCAGTGCCTGCCAGATTTGTGGAAAATACGGCTCCAACGCAGCCGGCTTAAATTTGAGAGCCGCTTGATGCTGTTTGAAATAATATGCGGAAATTGTTTAGTGTCTTAAATCAATACAAATAAATGCAGTACTTTTCACAGTGTTATCAGGCAAAGAGCATATCTAAGAATTAGTTACTAACTAAATAAAAATAAATTCGGTGCTTGCTTTCAATCGTAATCAATCAAAGAGAATATTTAAGGTTTAACAACTGGCAAGCTAAATAGACTTTCGAATAAATGTTTAATCCGTATAAATAAATAGAAATAAGATAATTTGTAGTAGCGACAAATGTACATTGAAATAGAAACTGAGAAAAAATACCCCAGAATGTGTCATCAGCAAAATCTTACCAGCAACTCAATGGAATCCAGCTTAGCAACTAGAAGTTCGCTCTGCAGTTTCTCGACGGCCAAGGAGACCGTCACCTCGGCAAACTGTTCGCTGGCAACGAGACAATTGGTTAGCTTTTCAGCTAAGGCATCGCGTGTTATGGCCGCCGGATCCTGTTTGCTCGGATTGAAGTCGATGGGAAAATAGCAGGCGAGCACTTCGACCAGCTCCTCGGCTAAATGCAACAGCGGATATTGGGATATAAACTCCGGCATAAAATTAAAAATTATATCCAAATTGCGAGGATCACGTTCGCCATCAATGGAATTGATCAGACCATATAAAAAGTCTCCGGCCATTTTCGTCAGCTCTACAAATGATGAGATGCGTTTAAGTTAACGTTAAGGTTTAGATTAAATCTACAGCTTGAGCTGGAGAACTCACCCGGCTGGAAATGTGATGTGAGGAACTTGAACATATCGAACAGTTGGGTGCGATCGCTGCGCGTCTGCGATTGGCACGTCGTACACTCAAAGAAGGCATGCAGCAGCTGCGTCACACTCTCGCCGGGCACGTTCTTCATGCGCACAAGTGCGCTCATCCCGGCAATGATCGCCGGCATCACATTGTGATGATCACGCAGCCGATCCGTGTAAAAGGTGCACAAAAATTCCAATTCCTTGGCATTGAGTACATCGTTGGGCAGGTCACTTAGCACGGCCGAAAAGAGAGTTGTGCCCGCGACGCGTTGTTCGGTTTCCGGTGAGGTCAGAGCAAAGCCCAATTGCTCGGCCAATGCATCAATTCTGTAGATGCCAGCGGTAAGTTCTGATTGATGTATAGCCACCAGATAAAAATGAGCAACAACGAAAAGAAAAACATTAGCAAACAGCTGATTTGGTATTTTTGAGAAGTTGCCTCGCTTACCGTTTGCGATTTGTGTGGCCGCTGCTGTGGGATCCCCTTTTAGGGCCTTCTCGAGTGTTGCAAGTGTGGGCGTTGTCATTTCGACGCCGCCACTAACGTAAGCGCTAAATTTAACAAAACAAATGCCGTTCCTAAGTGAGCTTAAGCCAGAACTAAAATGAGATCCCGATAATGTGCTTGCTTCTTTTGTTATCTATTCTGGGCCCAGACACGTTCAAGCTGTCGTTCAAGCATGCTTGCTGCTTGAGTAGAAATTAAATAAATTCAGTATTTTAAATGTCATATTGACTCAATCAGATAAGTGGATTTTAGTTCAAGCAGCTTTACTTATTAAAGTTTATAAACTTACTAATAAATAATAATACTTTATAAATATAGAAATATTAATATATATCTGAATAGTTATCGATATATAGATTAAAATACTTATTTTGTTTGGTATTTTTTAAGTTAGCCAGTGCAATATCTAATTAAATATCGATAAGTAGTGTGACATCGATAATTAAATATCGGTGTACCTTGTGATATCGATAAATAATGCCATCGCTGGCATTGCGTTAGTATTAAGCAACAACAATTGCCGCAGAAGACGCAGCAGCCGTTTATTTTAGCTAGTGCATTGCATTTAATTTTAAACAAATATTATTTTTCATACAGTTTAAGCTTGCAACGCCGTGTAACAAAGCCAGTGTACTAATGTCCATAACCGTAAGTAAACTGGCACACAGACCGCATTGAAGAACAACGTAATCGTTCACTGCTGACGCCCCCACGTAGCGCATTCAACATATATATTCATTAAAAAATGCAAGTGCAAAATGCAAACAGAATAACAAAAACATTCAATTTACGTAAATCTTCGGAAACTTTGTATTTTATGTGCAATTTAACTGACGGCAGCAAGCGGCCCTCTCAGTGTGTGTTTGTTTGTGTCTGTGTGCGTGTCTCTATGTGTGTGTGTGTGGTTGTGATTTGTTTGACGAAACTTAAACGCCGCGGAAATTTGAGCTCTGTTTTTTCTTTGCTCGTTCTTGCCTGTGTGTGTGTGCGCGCGTGTGTGTGTGTGTGTTGTGTTGGTGTGTTTGCGAGCGAGCGTGTGTTAGTTTTTTTAATTTTTTTTTGCATACAAAGTTGAACGTCGTTGACTTGAAAGAATTATTCAAAAGCGACGACTCAACAAGGTCAAGCGCCTTATTTGCCAGCTGCAAGGTTTTTTTTTAAACATTTATTTCATTACATTTTTAACCCAAACGGATTGCGACTCTGACTCGAGTCAACTCGGAAATGGGAGCACGTTTGCTTCTTTTAAATTTGGTGACAACAACAGCAGCAGCAGCAGCCGAACAATTGTGCTTATAATTAGCGCACTTGCTGTCTTCTTATATTTATATATATGTATGTGTGTGTGTGTGCTAGTACTTTTTGTAGTTGTCTTCGGTCGTTGCCATTGCTATCTTCTTTTATTATTTTCGGTTATTTTGAGCGGCCGCTACTTACTTTCCATTTTTACCTGCACAAGTGTGTGTGTGTGCGATTGTCTCCAACTATTTGAGCTAGTGTGTGTACGTGCTTGTGTTGTATGTGTGTGTGTGAGTGAATGACAAAGCCACTGCGTTGCTTCCGTTCTATTGTCTGAGAGCAAATACACAAAGATAGCGCGCTAGAGAGCGAAAGACAGAGAGAGAGAGAGAGAGAGTGAGAGCGAGAAGCTTACGCACTTGAGCAGCAGCAGCAACAACAACAACAAATGCTCATGACTTTAATTGGCACTAATCTTGTGTTTCGTTTTTGGTTACAACGACAACAACCTGTTCCTCGATTCCGATTCCAATTCCGATTTCGAGCAGTTACTGCGAGGTGGCAAGCAAAAGACAACCACTTGCGTAGGAATGACCGTAATGGCCAAAACTACAATTGAAGAAATATGCGAGAATGCCAAATTAGCACGAGACATGGCCCTCACTGGCAACTACGACTCTGCCTGCATCTACTACGAGGGATTGCAGGTAACAAAACAAACAAAAACCGATTAAAAAAAAAAAAATACCCCAATTACGAGGCGGGTAATAAAACCAAACCGGAAAGAACAGTTATCTTTCTTTTTGGCTTGTCGCAGATTAAGAACATTTAGCACATCCAGCAGCGACATAAAGCTCATAACTGACTCATACAACTTTGTCTGTAGCGCAATAAAATATGTTTACTATCTGATAAAGTAGCTCAGTGCTGATAAGTTATTGTTTACATGTCAAAATAATAATAACACTCATAATAACTTAACTTTAACTTGCAAGACAACTTTTGACCGATAGGTTTTTATTTTTTAGCATGAATTTTATAAGATCTTATAAAGACTACAAGGAATTGATTAGTTAAAAAATAGATTTTTTATCTATGGGAGCTAGAGATATGATATAGTAAATCGATATTCATAAACTTTTGCACATACATATAGAAGTTAAAATAAAACTTTCATTCAGTAATTCTGGATAAAATATCTTATACAACAAAATCTTAATGAAAGAACTTGATTTTAGCTCAATTATTTCTATAGAAGCTACAAGAAATAGTCTCTTTTTGAGTCTGCTTTAGATATAATGAAACGCATAAAATTTCTTAAAATTACATAATTAAGGCTGATATTAATAAAATAAATGTGTCTTGCATATATAAAATATATATAAATTAAAGCTTTAAATCTAAGAAATTTGAACAGAAATATTTTGAAAAATACTCTTTTTTGCAACTATTCAATTCATGCGCTCCAATTTAGAAAGTTCTTTACTTAGTACGAATTTTGATCAAATTAAATCAATATTTTTGCAATTTAATAACGAATTGAATGCTAATTTTAGGGCATGCTGGCGCGCCTGCTCAAAGGCACTGTGGATCCGCTGCGCAAGGGCAAATGGAACATGGTAAGTCAAACAGAAACCGAAAATGCAACTCGAAAACTAAGCGCTGACTTTTTCGCATGTGGCATCGCAGATCAATCAGCAGATCAGTCAGGAGCACGCTAAAATCAAGGCCATACAACGCACACTGATGGACATTTCGTTGGATTTGCAGAATACGAAATTTGCCCACAAGCTGCGTGCACAGCTCAGCGAGGAGAGCAATGTGAGTAAAGATCCCGCTGCTTGGTTTAAACCGGATCCGGATATATGGACGCCGCCACCAAAAGATCCGGATGTGTGGGGACCACCGAAACCGCCGCCAGTTCAAACAGTCGGTCGTCGTGCAGCAGCAACAACAACAAATAGCCGGCGAACAACGACTGGCAACAGACCCAGCACAATCCCACAGAGCACTGCCCGCAATGGAACGGCGCGCAGTGGCCGCCAGTCGTCCTCGGCAACAGCGGCATCCACCTCCAGCAGCGCACGTAGCGGCGGCGCCAATGGTCGAGTCACCGGCGGCCGCAAATTGTCCACCTCAAATGCTGCTAGCAACAATAACCATAACAACAACAACAACGATGGCAAGGATGATGATCCAGCGTCAGCGATCACCAATGGCTACAACATCGATGGCGATGCGGGCGACCAACAATCAGCCGAAGAGGAACGCAAATTTCAGCCCAACAATCACATCGAAGCGGAGCTTGTCGACATATTGGGTAAGTGCCCCCCCAAATGCTGGTCATAACCAAGATATAAATATATTGTTTAATTCCCCCATAGAACGTGATATTTTGCAAAAGGATCCCAAGGTGCGCTGGAGCGACATTGCCGATCTGCAGGATGCCAAGCGGCTGCTCGAGGAGGCCGTTGTCCTGCCCATGCTGATGCCCGACTATTTCAAGGTTCGTCACTCGCTGAATCATCAGCCAAATGAATTATCAATTAACTCGTATATTAATTGCGATCAACTGCTCGAATTCGCAGAAAAAGATATAAAGATTTTTAAGCAGAAAAATTGCACAAATTTGTATGTCAGATGAGGAAAAAGGGTGTATTGACGTTATGTGACAGGTGTGTAACAGGTAGAAGCAAACATCTATATATATATATATATATAGATGCTTGATCTTCTTGAGAAGAGTTGATCTAATCATGTCCGTCTATATGAACAACCCGAATTCAGACAATTTGAGAGACTAGACTTCACAATTGGCATATTAGTCAATTAGTTAATTGCTGCTGTAAACAGATCATGTTTATTTTATTTGATCGATAATTGCCCACGTTTTGTAAATATCGATATAAATCGATTTCCAATAGCAGTAAAGTCTGCTGAAAATTGCATTAATCTTGGATAAGCAAAGTAAATTTAATTAACCAACTCCTGTTTTCATTTTGAACAGATTAATATTGGTAATATTCTAATATTTAATAGCTAAGATTAGGGTAGCTGCTAGTCGAGTATTCTAACTTGTTGTCATATTAATAAATTGATATGTTAATTGAAATGTTTTAAAGTTAAACCAGATGCGAACAAGTCAGTTGTCGAAACCATTAAGTCAACAACACACACAAAAAGTAATTTGAATTGTTTTTGTGGGCGTTTCAAAATTGCCAACCGGTTCAAGCACGCACAGCTGCGACTTTTGAATAACTGACCTAGATGCCACCATGTGTGCACATTGATTAATTTGTTGTGGCCTTTGCAGGGTATACGACGTCCGTGGAAGGGCGTTTTAATGGTTGGTCCACCCGGCACGGGCAAAACAATGCTGGCCAAGGCGGTGGCCACCGAATGTGGCACAACATTCTTCAACGTCAGCTCCGCCACACTGACATCCAAATATCGGGGGGAATCTGAGAAAATGGTGCGCCTGCTGTTCGAGATGGCGCGCTTCTATGCGCCCAGCACCATTTTCATTGATGAGATTGATTCGCTGTGCTCGCGTCGCGGATCGGAGTCGGAGCACGAGGCATCGCGTCGCGTCAAATCGGAGCTGCTGGTGCAAATGGATGGCGTCGGCGGTGGCGAGGAGCAGGCCAAGGTTGTCATGGTGCTGGCAGCTACCAATTTCCCCTGGGACATCGATGAGGCACTGCGTCGCCGGCTGGAGAAGCGTATCTACATACCGCTGCCGACAGACGAGGGTCGCGAGGCATTGCTTAAGATCAATTTGCGTGAGGTGAAGGTCGACGACACTGTCGATCTCAACTATGTGGCCAATCAGCTGGACGGCTACTCCGGAGCCGACATAACCAATGTGTGCAGGTGAGTTGTAAACCATTCTCGCATGAGTTTTCCGATTCGCTTTGATGACCGTATTCAATATTCCAATCATCAGGGAGGCCAGCATGATGTCGATGCGACGGAAGATAGCAGGCTTGACGCCGGAGCAAATTCGTCAGCTGGCCACCGAGGAGGTGGATCTGCCCGTGTCCAACAAGGACTTCAACGAAGCCATCAGTCGCTGCAATAAGAGTGTGTCCAGAGCCGATCTGGACAAGTATGAAAAATGGATGAGGGAATTCGGTTCGTCATGATGGCCCTTAACCGCCCTCCTCTCCTCAACCATCTTAGGCATACATCTATATCTAAACATCTATTTTTTGATAACAACCACAACAACAGCAACAACAAACTGTTGTCAACAAGCTTTTAAAGTGTAAACCGGCCGTAAAGAAAAACAAAAAGTTGAACATATTTTATATATAACATATTATATTTATATATATATATATGTGTATATTTGATATATGCATATATAAACACGAAGCGTTGGAATTCAAAAGACTAACAGTTCTTAAAAGAGGAAATATAAATAACACAAGAATTAAATCGAAGCCTAGGCAAATGTGAAATTGTGAAAGCTAAGCAAAAAAAAAAGAAAAGAAAAGAAAACCTCATTTGCCCCTAGGTTCATCTAAAAAGCAATCACAACATTTATATACATATAGCATATGCACGATCCTTCCAATCCCAATTAATTAGTGAAACACAACAATTTCCAAAACTCATTCTAATCTAAGCCTCAATTAAACATGCCTCCCAAGCCATTGGCTACATTTTTAACATAATTATTAAATGTTTTTATTTCATTTTGCCCGAAATGATATAATTTTTTTAAAACACACGCGTACTCAACAGTTTTCACTTTCTTATTAATGTAATTAATTTTCGCTTAATTTATATATATATATATCTATACATAAAATATCATAGTTTATAGTTTTAATACAGAATGAAGTGAAGGCAGCGAATGTACTTAAAATGCAATACTGAACATTTTAAACAATAAACACCAGATTTTAACTCGTGCAACGCTTTTCTAATATATATATATATATATCGATTTATAATGTGGAAACATTCCTTTTCTTTTTATAATTTCAATATGTATTTGGTTGGCACAAAATACATATTCAAAAGTAAGTTTAAATTTAGCTAAAAGAATTGATATATACAATATTTTCTAGCTCAATTTCCAATAGATTAATAGCCGCTGATATTTGTTAGTTGATTGATGAGAAAGCATATACAAAATGCTACTTATCAATTCGTAATACAGTTCAACATAGAGAGTTTTGACTGTATTAGAGCAGAGTTTAAATATCTTGCTTTTTAATAACATTCAATTGATGGATACGTCATTCTTACATCAAAGCAAGCGATGTAATCCATTCCTATTAATTATTGTAATTAATTGATTATTAATTATTGTAATTAATTAATTATTAATTATTATAATTAATTTATTATTAATTATTGTAATTAATTAATTATTGTAATTAATTAATTATTAATTATTGTAATTAATTAATTATTAATTATTGTAATTAGTTAATTATTTAATTAATCGTTAAACGATTGAAACTAAGTGTTTATTGCGCATTAAATTGGTATTTTGGCTTTGCTCTCGTCACATTTGAATTTAAAAATAGAGTCGCCAATCGCAGTGCTAGAAAACGCACACAAATGAACTATTCAAATTGTGCAGCACTTTTTGTGCAATAAATAAATAAATTTAATTGATATCAGCTTGGATTCTAAATGTATGCCATGCTCCGCTTGGTAAACAACAAACTGCAATTCTAAACCCGAGAAGCGTTGCTTTATTGCCAGATTCTTTGTTGATTAAAACGTTGTTGCCAATCAAATGCGCATCATAATTGAATATAAACAAAGCATTTGATGAGTCATGCTTAAAGAGTCTTCTATTTTTTTTTGTTGCAATGGCAGCATGTTCAAATTTAATATTAAAATACTTAAGACTATGATGCAGAGGGCTTAATAGGGTCGCGATGGTGGCGGCATTGGCATCAGCGGACCCATCATCGGATATGGAACGCCTCCGCCACTCGATGCGCCTGGATAGAAGTTGGGTATATTGCCATAGGCCACGCCACCTCCTGCAGTGCCTGGACGCTGTGGAGCATTTTGTTTGCGTATCAGTTCCTGCATCTTCTCCGCCTTCAGTTTGCGCAGATGCATTGTGCGGCGGCTGGCCAGGAACTCGTCGAGAAATGCTTCCACGTTCAGTTCGTTGTCATTGAAGCGTTTCACACACTCCTCCGTCTGCTCCTCGCTCTCCGAGGCAGCCGTTTGGAGCAGCGCCAATGCCGTCTCCTGGCTAATGCCGCCGGATTTCTCCTTGATCTGGGCGAGCAGATCCTGGACGGCGGCACAACTGGTGCGTCCCTCCTCGGTCAGCTCGGCTAGCTTGGCGCGCAATTCGATCACCTGCGGCTCCTTCTCAATGTTCTTCTCGGCCCGGCTGCGATTCTCCTCGAAGAAGCGAACTTTTTGGGTCTTCAGCGATTCGAGCACCTCGTCGACTTTGTTGTCCAGTTTGTCGTCGTCGTTGAGCAGCTCCTTCAGCTGATCCGAGTTCATCGGAAAGAGCGATGATTGCAATTGATTTAGATACTCCTGATACATTCTGAGATCACAGTTTGTATGCCTTTTTGTTGCCTTTTTGCTTTGGTGTTTTTATTATAAAGTTATTTTTCGTCTGTTTATTCGATGGCTGTGCAGCACTGATTTTTAACAGCAGCAGCGTTAAAATTGATTGACACTCTGCAAACGTTATTAAGAGCTGGTGTGGCAACGCTGGCTGTGCAGTGTTGTCATGTAATGCAAAATGAATGTCAGCAAAGCGCCAATTTCAGAAAGTGGTTCATTTACAATAAATTTATTTTTACTTTTTAGTAGCTCATAGAACTGCAAAGGATTTCATCGGAAAGAGCGAATATTGTAATTGATTTAAATACTCCTGATACATTCTGAGATTAACGCATGAAAGCCTCTTATTTCGTTTTGCATTGTTTTTATTTTTAAATTGTTTTTCGTCAGTTTATTCGATGCTGTGCAACACTGATTTTTAACAGTAGCAGCCTTAACTTGACTGGCAAGGCTGCCACACCGCAAACCTTATTAACAGTTGGCATACATACCAGAGTGGCAATGCCGGCTGTGTAGTGTTGCAATGTAGCAAAATAAATCTAAGCAAACCGCCAATTTCAAAACAATTTATTGCAACAATATTTGTAAGGAAAATTAAGAAACCTATTTAATCAGCAGATTATATGTCTGAGTTGGGGCGTATATCTGCAACGGATTCGCCGCATAAATGGTCACCGGCAGATTCCACACCATAGTCTCTACGGGCAGTTCGGCGGGCGCTTTGAGCTCCCCCGCGGAGGGATTCGGAATGCCAAAGTCCATCAAGGTGCTGGTGACAAACTCGAAATGCAGTCGCCACTTGACGTCGACCAGATCGGTGCGAAATGTGGGCGTCACATGCAACGGAATGGGCACAACCACCTGCGTCTGCAGCGTTGCATAGCAGACCTAAAAACGGAATAAGTTGAAATTGATAATATTTAATAATCTAATAATATTTGTACCGCTGCAGTTGATACCCACCTGATGGGATGTGGCAATGGTGCTCAGCTTGCCGGTGGCCACAGGCTCCTCCTTGTTGCGGGCACTGCCCGATGTCTCCGACTTGTGCAGATTATCAGGCATAATGCCGGATGCAATGCTGGCCATATCGAAGGAGCTCAGCGAGGCTGTTGCTGCCTCATCTCCCGTCGCCGACTGCTCTGGCTGTGGACGCACAGGCAACTCCTGTTGCTGCAGCTTCACCGAGAACTGAACACAGCGCACCTTAAAAAATAATTTTTGTATTTTTAATATTTTAATATATATATAAAAAAAAAATTAATTTTAAAGAGTTTCAAAGTGCTTTTGTACTTTTTGTTTCGACAACAATAAGATCGGAACGCACCTGGCAATTCCCGAAATCCAGACTGCCCACGATATCCTCGCCCAGTTTATAAGCCTGCTTGAACAAACAGAAGCGTCCAACAAATCCACGCTTATTCGATATACGATAAAACTTTGGAGCACGTCGAGCAGTCACATTCTAAAAAAGAGGCAATGATTTAGAATATATTTCATATATATATATATATATATATGTATATATATATATATATAATAAAAGAGTTGTTTCTCTCTCTGCGAGGCACCTTCAAATGATGCCAGGATATTTCCAATTCGCTGATTTCGCGCTTCTCCAAAAAGGGATTCGTTGGTGCCAATTCCTCATTTGTTTCGACAGTCACCGGCAGTTCATCCGGCCGGGCTATCAACGGGATGGGGAGCACCCGGATTGGCAACGTTAGCGTTTGCACCTTGGATTTGACGCGTTGCGTGGCAATGGTGATTTTGTAAAAGTAGCGGATGTCATGGCCACGATATGTAGGCGGACCATCGCGTGGAACCAGCTCGTTGAAGAAATCTGCAAAAGAGAAAATTTCACAATTTATGTTACAAACAGTAGCTTTAATCAATATAGCCCATGTGTGCGACTTTACGGGGTATAAATTACACTTTGTAGAGATTTTTAACATACAGATTTTTGTATCGCCCGGTTGCAGTCGCAAATCGCAAAAGAGTATTTTCGGCTTGGTGGCAACAATGACTTCGCCCGGCGTTTGCGTCACTGCGTCCAAAGCGGTGCGTCCAATCAGCTCAGCGAGCTCGGCGCTTTTGTCAGCTATTGGATTGCTGTAGCTGGTCTTTCTATAGCAATGCAACTGCACCGAAGCCCAAGCCAAGTTCTCCAAACTGAGTGGAGAGTTCATGGAATACAAATAAGGAGTGTAAAGTTATTTTCAGTAGTGTAAATATAACTATTGGAAGTGTATTTTTGATTATTTGCTTACCTGGCAGCATTGTCCGCAAACACTTTGTTCGTAAATTCAATTAAACATTCAACGCACTCGCCGGTGGCATAAATTGCCGAATCTGCACGCACCAATTTTGCTTTGATTTCAATCATTATTTATTTTACATTTACTTTGTTTACTTTCTTTCAATGAGATTTCATTTTCTTGTTAAAAGTTGTTAATGCCCGAATTTAATATACACAAGCACATTTACTCAATGTAAATACTATAATGATTATATTAATATTACTATTTATCCACGTATGTTAATAAAGTTGTTTTATTTTTATTAAATTAGTAAATAACATTTGTGTTGTTTGTCGAAAACCGATTGTGATTGATTGTCGCCTTAAATATCGATAGATATCGCAAGCTTACAGAAAATGTTAATTAACAGCATTGCTATTTGATGTCTTAAATAATTTTAACCTAATGCAAAAGACCACATTTTATTGTACTTCTCCATTGCATTTTTTGATTAGCAACATAAAAGATTTATAAAATTTGATACGGTTTTTGAGCGGGCCGCGTTAATATTTGCTGTTATTAACAGCATGCAACAGTTGCGCAGGCATTCGATAGTTATCGATAAGTGTTCGTCGTCGTTTCGCTTTGTGTTTTGATTCGTCTCGCTTGTATTGTATTTCGTCGCGTCGTCCGCCTTGAGTTCCAATTCAGACGTTGTCGCATTCAAATGTGTAACGCGCGTGATTCGCGCTTGGTTCGTTTGACAAATTCGTTGGAAGAAGAAAAGAAAAGAAAAAAATTGCAACATCAACAACGCAACAAGTGTAAAGTGTTTTTTTCTGTGCACACGCAAAATATACAAATAATTAAAAGTGCGCTGAAGTTTTTGGAAGTGCTTTTCGCAAGCATTTCCTTCATTCCAGCGATCTGTGCGCGATCTGTGCGACAAAATGTGCAGCAACAAAAAAGTTACAAATGATTCGATTGCTGCGTTAATTTAATTAAGCGTGGCAATAAAATTTTGCCACAATATTTGTGAAATTGTGTATAAAAAGTGTTCATCTATGCGGAGTTGGATTAAAAACGTGTTTTCTTTGGGATATATAAGTGAGCGCGGCTAAACGTGCCAAAAAGGTAAGTCGCAAATTGTGATTAATTATTGGAAGTTAAATGCAAAAAAATAACGGAGCAGTTAAATGCATTTTTCCAGTGTTGCCCTATCAAACAGCAACAAATGACAATTGGCATGTCCGGCTTAGCAACAACAAAAGCAACAACAGCAGCGCATTCCAACAGCGTCGTCATTTTGCCTACATTTGTTTCCCCCATTTCTTATTTATATTTGTAGAATGTTGGACGCCACCCGCTAAACTCTACACACATATTTTTTTTCGCTCACATTGCATGGCTTGCATATTTGTTGTTGCTGTTGGTGTTGCTGTTGCATAGGTAAAAGAAGCAACATTAATTCGGATGTGGTTTTGCGCTTCAAAAATCTACACACGCAAGCAACAACAGCAAAACAATAAGAAAAGGGTGCGTCGACATTTGTTGTTGGTGTTGTTGTTGTTGTCGTTTTGCTGCTTTACATTTTGCTGTTCACCTTCGTTATCACAGCGTACATTTTGCTCTGGCTTTTCGTGAAGATGTTGCCTGGTTGCTGCTGGCTCCTCCAGCGCAGCTCTCAAAAAGTCTCCACTCTACTCCACTCACGCACACAAGCCCAAGACAGTTATACCTGTTTTTTTTTTCTTTCTGTTGTTGTTGAGCGCAGCCGCTGCCGCCGCCGCTGACTGAGAAACTCACTCACGCCATTGGAGCCGAGCGCCGGCGCGACGACGACGTCGACTGGAAGATTGGAATTTTTATGTGTGCAGCTCTACAAAGCGAACAGCGACGCGTTGTTGTTCTTGTTGCTGCTGCTGTTGCTATTTTCTTTGACAACAGGTTTAAAAATAAGTACACACATACACCCATAGACAGAGAGAGGCTTGCTTAGTTAGCTTTTACATACTTTTGGCTAGCCAATTGTAGTCTACTACGTTTTGCATTGGTGGGTGTCATGCTGACTACCTTTTTTTTGTTGCTTTTAGCTCTTCTACTACTACTTTCGGTCATTGTACTGTTGTTGTTTTGTCTTCTTGCCTTGCCTTCTTTCTCTGTTGTGGTGTTATTTTTTTGTATGTTGTTGTCTTGCCCACCGCCAGAACAAAAAACCACTACAACTGTTAACTATGTAAATATATATATGTTTTTGCGGTTACTTACAATATACGTGCATGTGTGTATGTATGTGTGATTTTTTATTTCTGGCCAATTGCAATTGCCTTTTTGGCGCCTTAAGTTTTGTTTGCTTCGCTTTACGTTTTTTGCCAAACTGAACTTTGTACTTTGGCTTGGCTCACTGCATGACTCACAAAGCTTTTGAGCTTTGCTTTGAATTCTTTTTGCTTTTTGCCTTCGTTGCATTACTGGAATTTTGGACTGGAATTAAGCAATGAGCCGATATTTACTGGATTTTTTATAGTAATGGGGAAAAATCACCTGTAATTAAAAGTTGATTGCTCGTTTTTTTTCTACCTGTAATCTAAGAAGTGAACTAAATATTTGCGTTATCGAAAAATACGACACAAGAGTTGCTCAAAAAAAAGACCAACAGATAAGCCAAATAGCTATTGGCCCATAAATATGGGCAACGACAATAACAACAACAAAAAAGACAATGCAATTGCATTATATTTGGAGCAGACGATAATGAAAAAAAGGTAAATAAACCCCGAAAAGATTCCACGAAAGGTGCACAAAATAAATATTGAAAAGTCAAATTAAATAAACCCAAAAGCAAAACAAAAACCAAAAAAAAAAACAAGTGCCGTTTAAATGTGGGTCGAACGACGAGATTCTTCCAAATGCGCCCATGCAACGTGCATGGCAGAAAGAGAGAGAGAGAGAGAGAGAAAGAAACTGGCACACTACACACACACACGTGCGTATGTATGTGTATGTGTGTGTGTAGTTACAGGTGCCAGCTAATCTAATTACGACATAGCAGAGACTCGTATCAAATATTTGCCCATTGATAAACAATACAAAAAAATGTATATAAAGAATTTTTCATGTGTTTGTAATGAGGCCAAACTACTTTCCAATATGCCGCAACAATTAGTGGGGTGTGGGGAAAATGATCGATAGTTCTATTGGAATATAGACCTATTATTGTTCTATGCGCTTTAAAGCGGTTCACATTTCGAGTCGCGTTTTGTGCCTCTGTTTTTGGTCCAGGCTCCTCAAGCTCTTTGTTTTTGTTTTGCGCTTGTAATCGGAGCAAGTCGCGGGAATGTTTATTTTTGGCACATTATTTATGCATTTGCGGAGTGAGTTTTTTTTTTTGCCTTTGTTTACTTTTGCTTTCGTAATTGGAATTGAAATTGGAATTGGAATCGTTGTCGGCGGTTTATTGTTTTGCACAAATTATAGTTTATTATGCTTTAGCTGGAAATGTGAGCTTTTTTTTTTTGTTGGCGCAGCTGCCCACGGCTGTTGTTGTTGTGTTTTTCCCTTTTTGCCGTTCTATAAACAAATCGAATTTGGTTTCGCGTCTATTTCATGCGAATTATATTAACAGCAAACAACTCCAAAGATAAAGGCGAGCAGCTCCTGTGTTTCGAGACCGAAACGCATTTGTTAAGGGGGGTCAAAAGGGAGAGGTATATATTATAGAATACTATCGAGAATGTGTGTGAATATGTATATATATAGTATAACCATAATGGGATCAAGATCAGGCAGTGTAAATATTTTAATTTTTTTCATTTTGCGAGTGTGGCCACAAATAAATAAATCGAATATTTACAGTTTTTATGTTTTTTTATGTAATACAAATAATTTGTTTAATTTCTAGAATTTATAAATTTTTAAGAGACAATATCTTTTTGTAATTGCAATTATATTTCTTTTGTAAAATGTTGTAAAATTTCACATTTTATTTTTTATAGAAATCAGAAAATCAGAATCCGATTTATTTGCAAAACTTGAAAAAGATAAATGCATATGATGAGGTAATTTATAAAAATATACTTAAATAAAAAGTGATAATAAATAAAAAGCAGCATTCTGCTTTTTTTTCATTGATTGACAGGAACTGTTCCAATCACAATTTAAGCTCAAGTCCGATTTTTGAGCATTTAGCTGCGATGCATAACAATTAAAAAGCAAAAAAAAGGAAAAGGAAAAGGAGCGCCAAAAAATGGCTTAAACATTTTGCGTTGATTTAGTGCGGTCAGTGCCACGCCCCTGCCTGCTGCCGCTGACCGCCTCTAACTGCTGCGAGCACACAAAACTTGTTTGGCAAACTTGTTTTGCTCAACACACACATTTATATATTTTAATTTTTTGTTTTATTTTGTGTACCGACTGACCGTGATTTTGAGCTGAATATATTTTGCCCATGAGTTTAGCTTCAGTCAGCTATTGTCCGAGTCCTGATCTCAATCTAAATACGATTATGAGTGTGTGTTTATGTGTGTGTGTGTGTCGCATTTGTTGTATGTGGATGTGTGTGTCTGTGTGTGTGGTTGCAAGCATTTTTCAAAGATCTACTTTCAGCTTGCGTCGCGTGAGAAATTTGTTCACCAAACCAAAAGCAAAGCAAAGCAAATCCAAGCTAAAGGAAGACGCCCCTCCCTCCCCTTTCCGCAATTGCACAAGCGACGCCCTCATCTTCGATTGACTGACCATGCAATTTCCCCCTTCCCCCTCCTTATGTCTCTTCTGTTGTCACTGCCCGCACATTCCACAAACAGACTAGGCTCTCACATTTCCCACACGACAACAACAACAATTTACTGTATAGCAGTGGGGTGGGTTGGTGGGTAAACTCCACTCTCCACTTGAACAACCGCAAAACGTCCATTGAAAAATTGCACAATTTTTACGCACAGAAAGAACACTCGTACGTCTTCTTCTGCCTCTTCTTCTCCTTCTACGTATGTATGTGAAGATAAAACATAGAAAAAATACAAGTTATTTTTGCCCCTGTTTTGATTATTTGCATTGCATGCATTTTAGCGGCAAACCACAGCACTTTGTGGCAAACTCTGCCTTAAGATACAAGCAATTAGTGATAATAATCCATGCAACAAAGGTTGGTCCGTTTTACATTTAAATGCCCTCAGAAATTGTATATCTCTTATAAATATATCTTTTTTTTTATTGTAATTTGAAATTAAATATTGGTTTTAATTGAATTTAATATATTTTTTACTTTTTGTATTTTTTTTGAGATTCCTTTTGTGTGCATTTTCATTTGAATTTCATTGGAAGTGAAGTGCATTAAATGTCAGATCACAGCTCACCAAATTGGAAATGCCTTACAAAAATAGGCTGGAATTGGAATTGAATGGGGAGGGGGATGCTGGCAGCACTCAAAATGCATAATGCTCAACATAATCGAATGAATTGAGGAAAACATTCGCGCTGACTTTTCGATTTTTATTCACTCGATGAGCGAGTGGCTCTTGATTGATGGATGGATGGATGTATGGATTGATTGATTGATGGGCAGAAGTGTGACAAAAGGTATGACAATGGAGCTGCTGCTTGAGCATCTTAGATGACTGTACTTTTTGTTGCTGTTCGTTTACTACAATGTTGCCCTGAAATTGTCAATTGGTATAATTTCAAAAAACGTGAAAAGAACGGTTTTTTTATTTCCAACCAACAACCACGTTCTGCGCCAGTGCACCAGCGAACCTCCTCTGCTCACCTCAATTTCTCTCCCTCTCTCTCTCTTTCTCTCATTCTAGCGTGTATTCTCTTTACGATCCTTTTGCTGGGCTAGCTACAGTTACAGCTACCTGCCTGACGATGATCTTGATTTTGCCGCTCTGCTCTGCTCTGTCTTTTTCGTCTGTCCTCTTTGGTTTTTTTTGTTTTGTTTTGTTTTGTTACCTGGTTCGCTGCCCTCCTCGACTTTTTTTTTGGAATGGATGGGAATGCGTGTTGTTGGTGTTGTCTACGTTTCCACCCTTAATCCAAACAGCAAACCGAAATTCCAGCAAGTCCGCTCTCTTGCAGTTGACGACAGCGTTACCAAGCCAACATTTGAACTCGGCTCTCATCTGAGTATGTCGCGT